TCAAATCAACCATTAATTTGTCTAAAAAGCCTACACTACACGGAAGGAGTAAGCACATTGATACGAAGTTTCATTTCCTTCGTGATCAAGTGAGTAAGGAGAAGCTTACACTAGTCTACTGCAACACAGAAGAACAAATAACGGACATCTTTACCAAACCGCTGAAGCAAGCGCGGTTTGACAAGCTTAAGGAGAAATTGGGGATGACTAGACTAGGGTTTTAGCTTAAAGGGTAACAAAAAAACATTTTAGACTAACAGATTTCTGGTTCTGTACTAGAAACAGAACTAGGCACCTTAAATATTACTTTAGTACATGTAAATGTGTGTGTGCAAAAATAAAAAGTTGTTTTTTTGTATACTTATATTTTCCTCCTTAAAAAGTGTGTTTCTTTGTTCCTCTTGTTGTACATTGACACGAATCCTGCAAAATAAAAAGGAAACCACGATTAATGAAATAGAGAGACGATTAATCGGTGAAAGTGAAAGCAGAGAGGTGATTCATCGATATGGTAGCAGAAATGAGTGATCTATGAAGAGAAGAAGAGGTGAAAAAGAGAGGAGAAGATAAGGGTTCAAGTGTCCGAGAGAAAGAGATAAGATTGCACGAGAGAGAAAGAACAGAGAAAAGGAGAAGTGATGCAGAGTAGGTGTGATAATAGAGATATTTTTCCTTTGTGAGTTGGGTGAAGCTACAGTGGGCGGGCCAACAGCTTAAATTGTATTTTGATTAATATATTTAAATATTTTTAAAAAATCTCTATTATATTATTTATTAATATAAATTTTAAATATCCAAGTAAGACATTGATTAATAACCATAAATGATAGGTGAAAAATAAAATCTCATCTTTTTAGTACATTTTAAATAGATCTTTGACATTCTTCTCTTATATTTTTTAAAAAAGAAAAAAATCCACCTAAAAGGTTTTTACCACATTCTGGTGGATAGAGAAAACAAGCTCTCCTCAGACAAATATTTAATGTAACATAAAAAAAAAACTATTAAATAATTTGCTAGATGACTTATCTTCATGCTTCAATATTTATCATATATGAATACGAAATAGTTAATGTAATATTTGAAATGATATCTTATTATATATTACTTCCTTAAAACTAAAATAAACAAATCTTTATAATATTTTAGGATTTTGTTTAAATTTTATAATTTTTTTCATCATAATATGTTATACTAACAACACATTTTTAAAAATAAAATAAAAAAGGTTAAATCAATTTTTTCTTCCTTTACTTTTTCACTTTTCTCAAATTTATCTCACTATTATTTGAAATATTAATTTAGTCTTTCTATGTATTTTGGAGGGTGAAAAAAAAAAGAAAAAAAATTATACGCATTGAAGAAAAAAAAAGTGAAAAAAAAGTATATTGTGATTTATAAAATTGATATAACTAATGAAGAAAAATTAAATAATAAGATAAACTTATCAATTATCAAAATATCTTTAATATATATTTAATAATAATTAATATAAATTAAAATTAATATCTGATTTATTTTGAAGTATAGTTGGTCTCTTGACAAACGTACCAATAGTCAATTGTAGTATAATTATTTTTTAGTGAAAATGTTGATCCCACGATGAATGAGTTCAATTAAAACAAATAGTTTATCTCAAATAGGATATATACAATGATATCAATTTGATTCATGATTAATAGTAATGATTTATACTAAATTTGCATGAAAATAAATATAATGACAGTAGATTGATTAGAAGATATTTAAATAGAGAAGTTGGGATTAAATTTCATCTATCTCATTCTTCCGTAATCTGAATGAATATGAACATATAACATCTGAATTTACCAATATTGATGCAACATACAATAATTATTTATATTGATTTTTCAAGTATAAAATTCATAAGACCGGTTCCTTGATTCCTCACATATCCATCAAACTGTCCAACATTCTTTTCAAATGTTAGAAGTAATTGATATACTGAAATTTATATCTATTCCTAGCATCACAATACATAAAGTATTTTTGTTTAGATCAGATTTTTAGAAATACTTTCTAGTCAAATATAAAAATCACATTCACAAATCTATTGATTAGATAAAATTAAGCATTAAGAGCAAAACAAAAATGTCAATATTAAATAGAAACAGAAAAATTATATATAGATATTACCATATTTCATCCGAGTTTGAATCGATTACATTTAATAATAATAAAAAAGATTAGTCACTCATGGTAGTCATTGACATCCTAAGAGAAGAAGAAAAACCCTAAAGTTAAAACTAGAGAAGAACTTTCTCTAATATTGTCAAAAGCAGCGCGCCCTATTTTTTCGTCTAAACCACAAAATATATATACTGCGCGAGTTCTCGCTTAAACCAGAATGACTTTTAAATTGATTGCTCTTTGGACGAATCTTACTTAAACGATATCATTCTAGCTTGAGCGAGTTGTGGTAGGATTTCATGTTTTTTTTCCTCTCGTTTATTCCTTTCTTCTTTTTCTTTGAAGCCCATTTCTTTATTAATTTGCCCGAAACATATATAAAATGAGGATAAAATGATTTTTTTTAATTAAAACTCTGAAACATATGATTATATTTCATCATTCTTAAATTAGAGGAAATTGATACCAAATATACAAAAATTGAAACAATAGTGTCATCATTCCATATGAAATTTTACTACTTTTTTGCTCTAATTAATAAAATAGAAAAAAAGGTAAAATAAATATTATAACCATTTATAAGTTGCATATTTAATTAATTTTGTTATTAGTAAAATAAAATTTACAAGGTACTTTTTATAATTTATTTTTATTTAATACTTTATATTATTAAAAAAATATAAAAATATAAATTATGAATTATAATAATCAATTTTCAAATCACTAAAATTCTGAAGTATAATTATCTTAAAGTACATAATTGATTATATGTTTAAATATAATTGATTATTTGAATTTGAATGTATGGTTAATATTAAAGTTAGATAAATATATTTTAAAGAAAAATAATTAGAAAGGAATATATGATTTGATGTAAGTGAATATGTCGAATGAACAAAAGACACTTTGCCTCCGATACTATATAACGTAAGACCATTTTCATATTTTTACAAATTACTTGTAATGCGGTGAAACAAACACACAACATCCTTGCATTTCTTTATATACAATAAAACCCTTGAAAACTAAAAATATATTAATATTTATTCATTCTGCAAGTCGATCAAGTAATCTAATAAAAATTACAACAATCTAATGAAAATTACAAATGATCATGTTTATTTATGTACCACTGACCTATGTTGAATATATCTCAAATTTACATCAACACTATTTAATCAACTTAATGTCACTTTAAAAATAATAAAATTAAATTATTACTAAAAATAAAATAACGCGGTAAAATTGAAAAAAAAAACTAGAAAAAAAATCTATTTAACCGCCATAAAAAAATAAGAAAGTTGAAAAAAATAAAAAATATTTATTTTGTTTATTAATTTTATTTATTAATAAAAACATGTTATAACTCTTTATCTCTTCTGTCGATCAACGTGGTTACTTAACTCACGTAGAACCCGAAACCGAGCTAGCTAAAATGAAGACTGTCCGAGATAAAATTGGTTATAGTAAGAAAAATGTTCACCATAAGATTATGAGAAGATCGAATCCGGAATAGCTAGGTTAGACATCTCCTCATAAGCTTATATGAACGAAATTAAATGCAGAAAAATAAAGACAGGGAAAAATAAACACATAAATCCATGATAAAATTATGAGATGATCGAATCCAGCATAGCCTGGTTAGACATCTCCTCATAAGTTTATATTAACACAAATAAAACTGTACAAAAATTATTTAAGTCTTTAAATGATTATCACATCTTTAAATAAATAAAGGTTAATACATCTAGTAAGAAAAAAACTACTCCGCCGTTATAAGAAAACAACTCCGACCAGATAACAAATTAAACGTTACTGTTGCCAATAGATGATGAAAGATAATATAAAACATACTTCCAACATTTAAATTAAATTAAATTTTCTTATAAAGACAAAATTTAAATTTTAGAAATAGAATAAAAACAAATGAAATCATCATTGATAACGTGATAAAGGCACGTGTTCTCTTTCTCTCTCAAACTCTGGTTTGTATTAATCCTTCCCTTTGTGAGACAGGGAGAGATCTGCCCCTTTTGCTCTTAACAATTCTCTCTTTCTGAGGTACTTTTCCTAATTTTGGAATTGAATTTTGGTGTCGCTTTGTCAAAGGCGTCTTCTTTTTCTGCAATCTCTCTCATCTGGGTAATAATCCTTTTGTGCTTATCTCACTCCTCCACACTGGTATTCTTCTTTCTTCTTCTTTTGTTGTTGCTTCCCCGTTTCTCATTCTTCTGTGTGCAAATTTTCTGTTTTTTTGGGTGTATCAATTGTGGGTGTGGTGCATTCTAGGTATTTGGGTCATACCGTTTTTATTTTTTTGCGTCTTCTTAGAATTGTACCATTTTTGGCGAATTTGGGTTGCATGCATGGTTTGATCATAGAAAAAGGCCTGAATTTTGCCGAAAAATCTGGTGTTTCATTTGTTTTACTATTTGATGTTTGATGTGAAGAGATGATAGATCCCTTTGTCCATTTGACGGCATGGTTGAAATTGTTCATGATTGTGATCAAATTGATGAAATTCACATATTTATTTATTTGACTAAATGGGGCGTTCTTTGTTTATTATTAATAATAAGCCTTGACCTGATTGCGTTGTTTTTTATCAATAAAAAATTATATTAATGGTTAACAATCCTTAAGTGTTTTTTTTAACTCATGGGATTGACATTGGTGTATCTGCTATTTAGGCCCGTGAATCAAACTGTTGAATTCTAATGCTGACAAATGTTCTGTATATTCGTGTGAACCTTTCATTTTTTATTTTTTATTTTTATTATTATCATTATGATTAATGTGTTTCTGAATAAGGTTTCTTGGTTTTGTGAGGTTGTCCTGTAGTTGGAGCTATGGCGGTTGAGGTTGTGGGATTTGAGACGGTTCAAGGGCCAGCGGAGAATAGTGCTGAAGAAGACAAACCTCTTACTCAAGAAATTGAAAATGGGAAATTGGAACAAGAGACAGGAGTCGCTGACGCTATAACATTTGAGTCAAATGGAGATGAATCTGCTAAACCAGAAGCGGTAGTTGTCCCAGATTCTAAAGTTGTACCAGATTCTCAAGTTGTCCCAGATTCTAATGCTGTTCCAGATTCTAATGTCCCTAAAGATGCAGTTGAAGACTGGCCTGCGCCAAAGCAGATACTTTCTTTTTATTTTGTTAGGTTCCGACCTTATGATGATCCAATCATCAAAGCTAATCTTGAAAAGCTTGATAAAGAGATGAGCCAGAAAAATCAAGCCCGAATTCTGGTCACTGATGCTTTAAGGGCAAAAAGGGTGAGTGGACGGTACTTTTGTCATGGTTGCTTAAAAGATGATGGTGCTCTTGATGGAGTTGAAAATGAGAATATAATCAAAGGAGGGGAATTACATACTCTCTGTTCTCTCAATTGTGATTTTCCACTTTCTCAAGCAATGTCTATGTGTTAGATTTGACATGTTTCATCCCCTAGGCATAATTTGCTCACTTTAGTCCCTTAGTATTCCAATTCAGTTAGATCAATGTGTGTTTTTGTTTGTTGTTCTCACAATTGTTATAATTTGGTCACTATAGTCCCTCAATATTCCAGTTCAGTAAATTGTTGTTGCGTTGTGTACTTTTTTTTTTATCGGCTGCGTTGTGTACTTTGTTGTCAATATTGTTCTAATTTTCTCTCTTTCATCTCTCAATGTTCCAGTTCAGTTGAATGACATTGGATATAAAGCAATTATTATAGTTGTTATCAAATTAGTTACTATTACATTTTTTTGTTGTGCCATTGTGTTTGTTGTTCTGGTTATTATTTAATTTGCTCACTTTTGTCCCTCAATGTTCCAGTTCAGTTAAATATGTGTTTGTTAAAATGGAAAAATTGTTGTTTTTAGTTCGTGAACTTTCTCCATGATATTTGCTGTCCTTCTATTAATATTATGGATTTACATGATACTATAGACTCAATATTTATTTCCTGATATGTAATTTAGTTTCATATTTGATTTTTATGCAGTCAGAACGAGCAGAGTTGATTTCTCAGATTAAGTCTCTAAGAGATGACAATAAGCAATATCAGAGTATTGTCGATGAAAAAATAAAAGAGATTGAACCTCTGCAACAGGCATTGGGCAAACTGCGTACTACAAATAATTCCGGCCGGGGTGGTGGATTATGCTCATCTGAGGAGGAACTTAACAATCTTGTATGTCTCAGTCAAAGTTCTTTTTAATGCAGACTTCATCACTTTGTCTATTAGTATATAATCCAAACACCACTCCCATATATGCTTTTGATGGATGCAGATTAATAGCCTGCAATTCCACATACAACATGAAAGCATTCCGTTGGCTGAAGAAAAACAAATCCTTCGAGAAATCAAACAGCTCGAGGGGACAAGGGAGAAGGTTATTGCTAATGCTACCATGAGAGCCAAACTACAAGATTCTATGGGGCAGAAAGAAGCCATTCAAGATCAGGTTAAGGTAAGATTATTTCTATTTTTGCTACAAACGTTTAGTTAAATGTTCTGAATTTGTAAATTGTGTTATGTAAATTTTCTTTGACTATTATATTTCATTGCAGCTTATAGGTGGTGATTTGGATGGAGCTAAAAAAGAGAGGCAAATAATTCGGTCCAAAATCAAACAACTTGATGATGCAGTAAAAGCCTTAGACAAGGATATCCAGTCTTTACAGGAGGAACTTGGAGCTGTTACTGAAAAGAGGGATAAAGCCTATGAGAACATTCAGCAGCTAAGAAAACAACGTGATCAGGGGGTGTGTTTTGCTTTCTTGTGACACTCATGCACATATTTTAATTTTATATTTCCTATCCTTAATATGTCGTACTGAGCTATACTCTTTCTTTTTATCCAAATTTATGTTGACCTATTCAAAGCTTCCCTTCCTCTTTTCTGCCGCTTCAGATGTGACTCATTTTCATGCTATTGAGTGTTTTATTCATTAATTTTTAAGATTTGCTATAAATTCTGAACAAGAATCAATATTAATTGTTCAGAACTCTTATTTCTACCAAAGTCGTACAATTTTGAACAAAGCACGGGAGCTTGCTGCAAAGAAAGATATTAATGCACTTGAGGAATTTGTACAAACTGAGGTTTGTCTGCATAGTCTTTGTATTGTAGTTTACTTTATCCATCTGATCACTCTTTTCTGGTTTTGGTTTAGCTAAGCTTCGTTCTGGTTGCTACCTTTATGTCGGTTACAGGTTGAGAAAGCTATGTCACTCTGGAACAGTGACAAATCCTTTAGGGATGACTATGAGAAAAGACTTTTGCCATCACTGGACATGCGACAGTTGAGTAGAGATGGACGGATGAGGAACCCAGATGAAAAGCCACTGCTGGAAGATCCGAAACCCGCTGAAACTGTTATATTGCCGAAAAACAGTGTGAAACGGTCAAAGGAGGAGCCTTTATCAGCTTCACAAGAATCTATGCCCGAGCAGAAGGTTCAGAAAGAAAACCAAAAGAAAGGAAAAATTTTAAAATCCAATGTGGACAATCAGGTTTTAGAAGAAGCTGATAAATATGAATTTGAAATGCCAAAAGAGACTACTGTTAAGGAGCCTCCAATTGATCCAGAAAAGCTGAAAGAGATTAAAAGAGAAGAGGAAATCACAAAAGCAAAGCAGGCATTGGAAAGGAAGAAAAAACTGGCAGAGAAAGCTGCAGCCAAAGCAGCTATCAGAGCACAAAAGGAAGCTGAGAAGAAGCTCAAGGTGATTGTTTGTTGATGCACATGTTTTGAGTTTATTGTCATGCATTGTTAGCTAAAATATTTTTCATAGTAAGTAATAGTATTAGTAATGTTATTATAAAAATTAACAAACATACCACACATGATAATCTATTATCTATGATTGAATGACAAGGTGATACAAACTTTTCTATTATTAGTGCATTTAAGTTGAGTTCATTATTTTGTTTGAACATGTTTTGCCAATACAAAACTAAGTATTTGAAATAAGAAATTTGCTCTTGATTTATTCTAGGAACGTGAGAAGAAAGCGAAGAAGGCAGCTGGTGGCTCTGGAACTGTTACAAATCCCGAGGAACCAACAAACGATGATGTGGAGGTTGTTACCGAACAGAAGACCAATGATAATGTGGAGGCGTCCACTCTTGCAAAGGTCCAAAAGGAGAGCGGTGTTAGGCCCAGGAGTCGAGTAAAAGCGCTGAAAAGCCCCCCTGACTCAATCCCAAAGGCTATTCTGAAGAGGAAAAGGTCTCAAAATTACTGGTTATGGATTGCATCTTGTGTTTTGCTAGTCCTGGCTGCATTGGTGCTTGCATTCATCATTCTTTCTTGAGAAGCTTAGATCTAGAAGTTGTAAACCAATTTTCTGTGGGTGCCTTGGCTAGGTTTGGCAGAGTAAGTAATTTTGTCCTTCTATAGTCCTCTTGGGCAAGTGGATCAAACGCACAAACTGTGTGTTGTGCTACACTTTCTGGGGGGAGAAGTTATATACATTTTAGTCTGACTCTAAGTTTTGTTGAGATTTCATGTTACACCGGGACTTGGATTTTTGTTTTTCCTTTTCCTTCTTTTTGGTAGTTAATTCATCAGGGAAATGACACTGAGATATACTTGCAAACTTTATGCTGAGATACTCTATATGTTTTAGTTTTGATATCATAGAGAATTTTTTTATCGTAAAATTGTGAAGATTGGTGTTGGTGGGTGGATTGTGATTAGTAATAGGTGCAAAATGCATGATGCATGCATTAGGTAGGGTTCACTTTTTATCTTCAGAAATGCTACTTGCCAACAGGGAATCTTTTTTCAGTATAGATGATAAGTTGAAAAAAGGTTTTCAAATATATGGCAGTTAGATAAAGTAATTGTTTTGTTCAAAGGGGTGTTTGAAATATCGCGGATTTGAGGAAAATTTGAGTTTGGAAATTGTAAATTTTTTAAGCCAAATTCATTTTTAACTAGAGTTGTTTATTTATTACATATAATGAATTGAGTTGTGAAATTAAATTCAATGAAGGGATATATTGAGTTGTTTCAATTCTATTTAGTACCATTTCAGACTATCCCTAATGACACATGTGATTTACATATGATAATGTAGCCTAAAAAAATAATATTTTGAATTATTACAATAATATTCTTTATTTTTTTAAATAATTTTTGAATGATCAAATGATAAGTACATATATTAAAATAACCCTTGTAACAAAAACAATGTCTTACCACTATTACTTTCTCCACCACTTCTAGGGTGCTCTTCTTAAATCTACATTATTGTCATGTTTTTAGGTTACCTTTCTTTCGTCAAACCAATTAGATAATCTAGGAGTAGTCTTTTGCTTCTATAAGCTATCCAATCTATTATTTTCTAAAATGTTAGATTTTTAAGTTTGAAAAACGAGATATCCCCAATTAATCCGAATGTGTTGTTTCATTGCTCATAACATGAATATATCTTCCAACATAAATTCTGCATAATTATTATCTTTGAGAGTCAGAATGAGAAGATTTAGGTGTCATTAAATTCTTAATGCAAAAACAGTCTATAACTAATTTAGGAACCGAAATTGGTGTTTAAGAAAAGATAAGGTAACTTTTTTCTCCAATGTTAACTTTATTTCATTAATTATAATAAAAGAGTTTATTGTCTTTACAAATGTTCTTTAGTATTAATTTTGTTTATGAAATGCTGTTATTTGTCCTTGATAGAAAAATAACATTCCTTGGGATTCTTAAACACCATAGCTAGCTACCATATATGATCAAATGCATGGCAAAGATGCTTAGAGAGTTGGCATATAAGAAGCAGCTGAAAATATTTCAAAAGATTAAAAAGAAGAGATTCATTTTCCTTTGATCTTTCTGTCATGAATTTTCAAACTATGATATTATTAATCTGGTTGAAAGATTTGTTACTCCAAGTCACGACACTGATCAAATATTTTCTTGCTGTTGTGCAAAAACTGAATTGCATCGACATCCCTCATCTCAGGAGTACGAATCAAAGCCTTGGCTAAATTAATATGGCAAGACTCACCCATTTTCACAAGCTTCTGACAGCAATGCTTAGTCACTTTGTGCTTTGAATCAACTTGTTTCTCAAATATCTGTTTTCCACACTTGGCACCTATTTTCACCACGCAGTTTGACAAATACTGCCAACTTTCGGGTTTGGTAGCTTGATCACACTTGTTGAAAATGACATCATTTTTTGCCATAACATGAGTCGAATTTTTACTTCTTAGCTCTGCATTGGTTTGAGAAACAAATAAGGTGAGTCTGCTGTGACAAGAATAACCCATTTGAACAATCTTATAACAACACTCTCTCGAGACCTTATTCTTTTTTTGGCTTGACAATACATCAACAATTTTATTTCCACAGTGTGAATTCATATGCCTTCTACATTCAAACAATGATTCTTGTTCCTCGGTAGCTGAGATTGTTTCAATTGCAGTAGCCAACAAGAAAGCCACCAAGATCAGATAATTGCTAAGTGTTGCCATGAGATATGAGAAAAATGAACTGTATTATGCAAATGTTCAACTTGTCGTTTGTTTAAATAGTGAGTAAAGTTGAAACTATTTGTTGGATGAACGTAACATTATAAATGCCTCTGTGAAACGTAACACATTAAAAATAGGTTGATGTTTGCAGCAGTTTGCAAGTGATTGTAACTTTCTAAACTGCTTAATTTGCAACGTGTGAGGAGTTATAAACTTTGGAGTCAAATTTTCAATTGTAAGCACAGAACATACGTTGCTCAATAACTCCAATCTGTTATGTAAATGTGATTTTTATTGTGAAAATTTTAGTTACTGTACAGTATTTTGCTTTTTCAGTATTTTGCTTTTTCAGCAGTTTTATTTGGTCAAACTATTTTCTTTGGTGTGTTCTCTTCTTCAGAGAACGAAACTTATCTTTATGGATGTATATATATAAACTAAAACTTACAATTTTCTTGTATAAGAATTAATGAAAAGTTAGTTATGATATATTTTTATTGGCATTTGAATTTTTTAATGAAAAGCTAGTTAGAACATCTCCAACGAGGGTTCTTATAACCCACTTGATTCATAAGTGAGATCTATAGTGTCACACTATATTTAATTAATTCTTTTCGAATTTTTACAAATTTACTTAAATTGTGGGTTCTTATAAGCAATTCACCATTCAACTATCACTTTTGACTTTAATGAGACCCGTTATGTCACGTTAATAATAATTATAATATATAATTAATTATTAAAATAAAATAAATAATATATTTAAGTTTAAAAAATTAAAAATAAAATTAACATTAGAAATATGATTAATATTAATTAAAATATAAAATATTAAACAACAATGGCAATAAAAATAAACAGAAAAAAATTGAAAAGAACAACTCTTAAAAACGTTGTTTTTACAAGATACACGACAGTTTTTTATAATCACAATTGCTTATAAGCAACTGGACCCTAAGTAACTCTCATTTATGTTTTTTTCCCTAATATTTATTGAGGTAATCCTGAACCAACCTTAACTATGATTGGAAATTTTCAGATAACATCAATTGAAAATTCATGAAAAAAAAATTATTGTCGTTCTTCTATAACTCAGACAGTTTTACTAACAAATCGAATAGTTAATATTTAACTCCCTCCATCTTTAAAGAATCGGGCAGTTTAAGACCGTTTTTTTATTTAAACACAAAATTAAATAAATCAGAAATATAAATATGTAACTAAAACATAAATTCTCTAACAATCATTCCCTTAAACTAAAGCCTTAAAAGCTTTAGTTTACTTATGATACTTCAATCATGCCCAACTTACTCCTGATTTTCATAAATTGCTCTATCTTGAGTGATTTAGTCATTATGTCAACTATTTAATTTTGGGTGCTTCAGTGGCTCAACTTGATTTTTTCTTTTCTGACAAGATCTTTTAAGAAATAAAAATCTAACATTAATACGTTTGCTTCTACCATGAAATACTAGATTTTCAGATAACTTAATAGATGAATATTGTCACACAGAATTATAATGTGTTTATGTTCTTTAAAATCAATGGTCTCTAAAATTCTCATGATTCAAATGCATTGACATGCACATAAAGTTGCAATTATGTATTTTGACTCTATAGTAAATAATGTCATTATTGGTTGTTTCTTGGACGGCCATGAAACTGCACCAGTTCCTAAGGAAAATACGAATCCTGATGTGTTCTTCCTATAGTATATATCACTTGCATAATCATTATCTGTATAAGTCACTAGTTTTATATATCTTCTCCTTTCTTGTAGAATATTCCAAGCTCAATAGTTCCCTTTAGATACCATAGGATTCGTTTGATAGCATTCCAATGAATCTCGGAAGGATTAGCCATGAATATGCTAATTAGACTGACCATATACACCAGGTCAGGTCTGGTTGCAGTCATATACATAAGACTTCCAACTGCCTGTTTGAAGAGCGTGGCATCTGCCTTAATTCCTGTATCAGTTCTGGATAACTTAGTTCCTAGAACTGTTGGGTTCTTTACTGCATTGCACGCCGTCATATTAAATCGAGCTAATACTTCTTGGGCATATTTTTGTTTACATACGAAGATACCATGTGTACTCTGCAAAATTTCAATTCCCAGAAAATACCTCATCTCCCCCAAGTCGGTCATGTCAAACACCAACATCATAGAATCCTTAAACTCATTACATATGCCTCTATCATTTCCAATGTTCCAGTGTAAATTAAATCATCCACATATAGGCTTACAATAAGAATTTTACCTTCCTTTGTTGACTTTGTTAACAAAGTATGTTCACAAAAACATCTTTCAAAGCCATATTGTAAGAAATATGTTTCTATTTTGTTATACCATGCTCTAGGTGCTTGTTTGAGCTCATAGAGTGCCTTCTTCAGTTTGTACACCTTTTCTTCTTGTCATTTTTTTATGAATCCAACTAGTTGTTGAATGTATATTTCCTCCTTCAGCTCTCCATGGAGGAATGCGCTTTTCACATCAAGTTGAAAAATGAACTAGCCATTCTAAGCAGCCATAGATAGAATTATGCGAATAATGTCTAATTTGGCAACTAGTGCAAACACTTTTGTGTAATCCACTCCATAGTGTTGTGCATAGCCTTTTGTTACTAACCTTGTTTTAAATTTGTCAACCTCATCGTTCTCCTTGAGCTTGGTTTTGTAAACCCACTTTACTCCAATCAGCTTCACTTTTTTAGGAGCATGAGTTAATTCCCATGTTTGGTTTTTCTCTATAGCCTCAATCTCTTTCACCATTGCTTCTCGCCACTTCTTGCTCTTAACAGCCTCTTCAAAGGTTAACGGATCAGTTTCTGCTACTAGCATAACATTAGTATTGTTGTCATCATATATACTTCCCTCTTTTTCATAGTTTGTCATCCATACATACAGGTTTTCTCCTCTTTCTTCTTGCCCTCCCTTCAGTTGGGACCTCACATGTTTGAATGTGAGATTCGTTTCTGATAGTTGGTTCCACAATTTGTGATTATGGTTGTTGTTCCTCCTTGTCTGATTCAGATTGTGTATCGATGTCATCTTCTTCTCTTTCAGCAACTTCTTGGTGATCTTCTGCTCCCACCTCCAGCTTTTATTTTCTTCAAATATAACATCCTTGTTGATTATTATTTTCTTGTTAACTAGATCAAAGAGTCTATATGTCTTGGATTCATCATTGACTCTAAACAGAACACACGGTCTGCTCTTGTCGTCAAGCTTAACCCACCGCTGATCTGGTGTGTGGACATGAGTTAGACAGTCAAATACGCGAAAATAATCAACAAATGGTTTTATTCCACTCCATGCTTCCTCTGGGGTCTTATCTTGGACAACTGACATAGAGTTTCTATTCAGAATGTGTGCACACCATTTTGTTGCTTCTGGCCAAAAGATTTTTGGAACCTGTCTTCCAATTAGCATAGAGTGAACCATATTCGTGATAGTTCTATTCTTTCTCTTAGCAACTCCGTTCTACTGCGGACTAAAGGTAACAGTCAATTGCCTTCTTATTCCTTGATTTTTGCAGAAATCTTCAAATTCTTATGAAAAATATTCTCCTCCTCTATCTGTTCTTAAACATATAATACTTTCTCCAACTTCTTTTTCAAATAATTCCTTAAAGCTTTTGAACAAAGAAAACGTTTCAAACTTCTCACTTAAGAAATATATCCAATTTTTTCTTGATAGATCATAGGCATGGCAACGGGGCGGGGCGGGGGCAGGTTTTGCCTCCCCGATCCCTACCCCGACTTTTTTAACCATGCTCGTTCCCACTAGGTTTCGGGTTCCGCCTCGTTCCATCCCCGATTTATATTATTTAAAAAAAAATAATTACATTTATAATAAATTAATTTTACTATATATTTTTTATATATAAATAAATATTTATAATTTTATAATAATTATTAATTAAATATATTTTTTAATTTATTATATTTATATTAAAATATGTATGTAGAAGAAATATTTAATTATTATATATATATATATATAGAATATTTATAACATTATTATTATTATTATTATTATTATTATTATTATTATTATTATTATTATTATTATTATTATTATCATAACACTGTGTTCAAATATTTGAATACGTATAACATTATTATTATTATAATATTGTATTCAAACATTTCATTATATATATAAGTTAATTTATTTTTAAGTTTTTATTTAAAAATATGAAATATATAGTTTATAAGAAAATATTTAATAAGTTAATTCTTATTTAATTAGTTCGAAGTAATAAAAGTTTAAATTATCAATTCCTTTTAATATTTTAAAATATAATTATTTTATTAAAATAAAATTTGATATATGATAAATAAGAATAATAAGATAAAAAATTATGACATAATAAAACTTAATAAATATAAATTATAAATAAAATAATATTAGTTATTACTAAAATTTATGTAAAATATTTAGAAAAAGATAAAGAAGAAAAAAATTAATTTGGTGTTCATCAAATTGGTTGAAAAGATAAAAAAAAACAAATTGATGAGAGAGATTAAGGAAATGTGAAAAATAAAAAGATAAAAGAGAAAATAATATAATGAATTAATTGATATAAAAGATTAAAAAAGATAAAAATAAAATAAAATGTGGGTTGAAGAAAAATAAAAATGGTGATGTTAAGGTTCCAACATAAAACCAATTGGCAATATGTGGAGTAGTCTAACATGTATTTAAATCATACCAAATGACATGAGGTAGGCGATGTGGGACTTTCAACAAGTTCTAATTCTGTTTTTCATGAGAGGACCAAACACATTGAGATTGACTGTCATTTCATTCGATAAAAGATTATGTCTGGAGACATCAAGATTGAGTTTGTTAACTCAAGTGATTAGTTAGCAGATATTTTTACTAAATCTTTACGGAAGCCTAGAATTGATTATATTTGTAACAAGCTTGACACATACGATTTGTATGCTCTAGCTTGAGGGGGAGTGTTAGATATTGTTTAGATATTATTTGATATTGTTAAGATATTGTTAGATATTGTTAACCACGATATCAAACAATATCTTCTGTTTATTCTGTTACTTTCAGTTACTCTTTTAGTTCTCTCTATTATAAATAGACTACCCTATGTGTGATTTATACACAAGGAAGATTAATTTCAAATCCTATTTTCTCAATATTCAACATGTGAAATATAAAAAAATGATCTTATATGTAATAGAAACAGAAAAAGACATACTTTTAAATTATTAATATTTTAAAATTTAAATTTAAATATAAAGTTGGGGCGGGGATGGGATGGGATCAGGGTGGGGATTGCATTACCCATCCCCGGCCCCGCCCCCGGCCCCGACTTTTTAAAGCGGGAAAAACCTGAATTCGCCCCCACCCTTGGTCAACTCGGGTTTTCCCCGTCAAACTCGAGGCGGGGATCGGTCGGTCCCCACGGGTACGGGTTTAATTGTCATCCCTAATAGATCATCAATAAAACTTAGAAAATATCACTTATTGCTGCTTGATGTTGGTTTGATTGGCCCACATAAATATGCATGAACTAGCTGCAGTTTTTTAGATGTTGTTCTTGTGTTCTTTTCTTGCCAGACATTGTGTGCAAACATTTTGAGGGGATGTAATCTGAGACAAACCTGTCACCATTTGTTTAGAGGCAAGGGTGTTTAAGCCATCATAGCTTAGGTGTTCGAGCCTGTTATGCCAGAGTTGAGAGTTGTTTTCTGCATTCATCTGGAGACACGTATCTGTTCCCATGGCTGTTGTCAGCACAAACATCCTACTAGTATTCATTTGAACTTCACATATTAGTCATTTCTCAGGGTGCGTAATAGTGCAAGTATTGTTCTAAATTTTAATACTCAACCCCTTTTTCTTAAGTTGTCTTATACTCAATAGGTTATTTTTTAATTCAGGAACATAGTACACATGTGTGACAATATGCATCAATTCATTCACCTTCATGTAAATACTTCCTTTCCCCATTATAGCTATCTGAGTATCATTTATCAGTTTTACTCTACCTCTAAAATTCTCATCTAACTATGAAAACCACCCCTTTTTGTCACTCATTCTTTTTTCCTTCTTTGCTTTCTACGAGAGCAATTAGTAAAATCTCTTCCTCTTGTTCTTCCTCCATTTATGCATAATTTGCTTTCTTTTCCCACATAAGATATGCATATTGAAAATGTCCAAGTTTATGGCATTTGAAACATTCAACTTCATTCTTATTGAGTGTTTGCCTTCCCCTTCCTCTACCTCGAAAGGCTCCTATTGCTCTCCCTCTTCCTCTTCCTCATCCATTCTTTTCATCAAACACAATTTATGCTCTTCTTCCACTGAGTATGTCGTTCTCTGCTCATAAACTAATAAACTACTTTGCAATTCATTTATAGTCATGGTGTCCATGTTATTGGATTCTTCAATTGAGCATACTATATAGTTGAATTTTGTGTTCATAGACCGCAAAATTTTAGCGGTAATGACACTTTCTTGCATATTCTCTTCTATTACTTTCATACTTTTGGCTATCTTTAAAGTGTGGCCAAAGTAAGAATTTACTGTTTTGTCTTCCTTCATTTGCAATGTATCGAATTCCTTGCGTAGAGCTTGCAATTGCACACGTTTCACCCTTGTGGACCCTTGAAATTTCTTCTTGGAATCCCATATATTTTTGGACGTTTCATCATTTAGGATTGTATCCAAAATTTCTCTATCAATTGCTTGATAGGGATAATTTTTCACCTTCAAATCTTTGAATTGTTGTTCTTCTAGCCATTTGAGTTCTACTTCTGATGCTCTTACCTTGTCTGGGATAGTCTCAATACAGTGTTCCACCAAACTCCAATACTCCTTAGAATACAGGAAATTCTCCATTCATTTTGTCCAATGGTCATAGTGACCATCAAACTTTGGAATGGTGGATTGAACGTATTTGCTTGGTTCAACCATTTCAGGTAGTGCTCTAAAGAATACTCAAAGCTCACAATGTATCACTTTTCCCAAACCTAATTCAGAAAGCAGAACTCTCTAGGTAAGAATGCTTTATGAATTGTAATATCCAAATATTGTTGTTCATTTCTGAAGATTACATTATTAAATAGTTTTGCAAAAGAAAGAATTGGTAGCTAATATTTAGCTCCCTCAATCCCTAAAGAATTGGTAAACATAAGACAGTTTATTTATTTAAACACAAGAAAAACATTATGTGATACAAAAGTATGCTCAAAAGTATTTTTGTTTTAAAAAATACTTTATCAAATGCATCCATTGTATTCAATGTGTGCAAAAATTATAGAGAAGTACCCCACACAAATTCTTACCTATCTATATGATATGCATTTTAACCTTCAACAACTTAAATTGAAAGATAAAAGTTATAGAATTCAATGTTGTTTTAAATGAAAAACAAACATTCTACAAGTTATCCATTGTTCAGTCCAAATTTCATTCCTGTATGATGGTCATAAAATAAGCACTAAAATCATGTATGTCCTAAATTTTTCCTTTCTTTTATAAATTCCTATTCACAACTAGGGATATAATTAAACTTGTACTTGTTCAAGTTAGACTAGAAAAAACTGAGTTGATTAAGGGTGGGGTGAAGAGAGATTCAAGTTTTCTCGCTTAAAAAAGTCGTGAGTGAGGACAGGGATGAATACTCTAATCCCCATCCTGGTTTCGTCCATGTCCCTATCTCGACTTTATATTTAAATTTAAATTTTAAAATATTAATATTTTTTTAAAAATATTTTTTTCTTTTTTTCATTATAGATAAGGATATTTTTTTATATTTTATCATTTTTTTCTACCCATTTTTTAATTTTTTTAATCATTTATATCAATTAATTCTTTACATTGTTCTTTTTTTAACCTTTTTATTTTTTTTTTACATTTCTTTGATCTCTCCAATTATTTTTTTTTTCAGTATTTTTAACAAATTTGAGGAGCACAAAGTTAATTTTTTTCCTTTATCTTTTTCTAAATTTTCTACATAAATCTTAATAATAACTAATATTATTTTATTTATAATTTATCTTCATTAGGTTTTATTATGTCATATATTTTGAATATTATTTGTTATATCTCAAATTTTATCTCGAATAAAATAATTGTATTTTAAAAAATTAAAAAAAAATAATTTAAACTTTTATTACTTTGAACTAATTAAATAAAAAATAATTTATTAAATATATTCTTATAAATTATATATTTCATATTTTTAAATAATAATTTAAAAAACAATCAATTTATATATATAAACAAATGTTTAAATATATAATAATAATAATAATATAAGTATTTTATATTTATATAAAGAAAAATGATTAAATTTTTCTTTTCAATATATATTTTAATATAAATATAATAAATTAAAAAATATATATTTAATTAATAATAATTATAAATTATAAAATTATAAATATTTATTTATATATAAAAATACATAAAAATATTATAATTAATTTATTATAAATATAATTATTTTTATAAAAATAACTTAAATAAAGAACAAGACGAGACTGGATAAAAAAAATCCAAAATCCAATCACAACAGAGAGGATTTAATTTCTAATGGGACGGACAAAATGGGAGATGGTTAAAAAAATGGGGACTCTCTCAAACCCGGTCCGGATGCCATGCCTCACAACTGTTTTGGTCACACGTGGTTTTGTATAGAACAGAAGAGTCCTACGTTGCAAAGATAATGCAGGGCCTCGTCATTGTTCCAAACATTAATACTTTAAATGAACATAATTGACAGAACAATTAAACCTAAGTAAAACTCAATAAACACTACGCATTTTCATTTAATGACAAGTCAGCAATTCCAGCAACGAGATCATCGAGTGAGTTCATGTCCATCAACTTCCCTGAATCATTAAAAGATGATGGCACTGTTTGAAAGGAATTCTCTGATAAGGCTTTGTCCAACTGTTTAACCAGTTCACCTTCCTCAGATGGAATATCAATATCCCAAATTTTGAAGATATTCTCAGCGAGGTGCTCCATCTCATAAGAGGAAGAATCCAGATCCACAAAATCAATGGTTTCATTCTCCTTCAAGTTTTCATTATAAGTTGGCAGAAAAGGATTCACAGATGGCAAGGTATCAGTCGTTTCTTCATCTGGAATATCATCTGCGCTTGATTCTACTGCCACACGTAATGGGTTAACATCATAAGTTGAAGAAGACTCAGATATGCGTCTCCCGTCAGAAGTTGAAGATTGCTGATTAAGTTCCACAGTAATATTTTCAGAACTCGTAGGGTAGGGAGGAATTTCTCCGTCTTCTTCTTCAATACTGAAAGACTGAGATTGGGAACTGATAATTTCTAATAAAGCATTTTCCAACGGGACCCAATCAGTTTCTGAAATATCAGAATCTTTAACTAGGCAGGAATCAGCCCAAGCAAGATCTTCCGGAGAAAGAACTTCATTCTGTCTAGATGCAATTGTGAGAATAGCAGAAGAAACTGAAACTTCATTCTCTGCACTTTCTACATCCATTGCTACAAGTCCATAGAGATAGATGTAAGCAATATGAAGAAAAGAAAGAGTAGCGCCGTGTGTGGGTGAAACTCAATCAATGAAACACAATACAGTATCTTGTTTCATAAAAATGGAAATCAAGATCATGCTTTTTAAGTTATAAATAGTCATTGACATGAAATAGCATCTCATGACTAGAAAGATATGAAAAAGTATTTTGTTCCAAATCCATTGTTGCATTCACGAATGCAATCTGGCAAGGAATTCCATAGAACAAACAACCTCATCAGTTAAAAAATGTAGGTACTACCACGAACTGACATCAAAGATTCTAGATGTTTGGTTTTCTATTGACTGAACAAGCATTTTAACACTTTTCCAGTCGAAAGATTTAAAAAAAAATCAGTCTGTTGGTCTTAACAGATTCACAAATACAACAAAGAAAAGGTCCCATACTGCACAAGATCTTCCAAAAAGAAGCAAAATTTGATATAAATATAGTGATAAAAAGCACACAGGTAATGAAAATCTTGGAATTCATGAACTTCGAACTAAACATAAACTGAATATTCATATTCATAAATTTACATGTCATAACCAATGTAGTTGAATCAGTAAATAAAGTACGAATGGGAAAACATATTTTTTGAATTGCAGATTGAATCATACCATGAATAGTATGATTCATGATCAATAATAAACATGGTATACGTATACGTATGGTATATGCTTATATGTGTATATATAAAAGACGTTTAAAAGCTCAAATTCATTATCAATAACTATTTAGAATTGCAGTCCAATTAAACTATCTTTCAACAAAAAAAAAAAAAAAAAACTCTAAGCTATATGTTAGGCTTTAAGTTTAAAATAGCAGCCCAATTAACTATTTAGAATTGACACAATAAAAAATAATAACAGGATTTTTTTTAAAATATCAGGTGACACACTTAACCTTCTACATGTGATTTTAATAATAAAAAAACACGTAAAATTTGATGGCAGTTTTGCAAGCCCCCATACCTGAAAGCCCACACTTAACCCGGTTTTCTTTCCTTTCTTCCTGAATGTTGAAGACTAAATGTCACCTCCTATCCCTCACCAACTGGCCGGATCCAACTTCTCTCACATCAGATCATAATACCCTCAACTAGAATGCAATGCCTACGATGCAACACACACCTACGACACATATGGCAGCTGTAATAGCCTTTGTCACCGGTATCTGCAATGTCATTAGTATCGCACTTTCATTTCTATTGAAACGCCATTGTGTCAAAATTACAAGTTGCAGTGCAGGTCATATACACAAAGGTAATGAAAACTGAAAGACTATTGTGAAAATAAGATAAAAGTACAAGATACAATTATTTTCTAGGACCAACATGACTCACTTGAGGCAGATGAAGCATTAAAAAAAATTTAATGTTTTATCCTTCAAAATAATTGAAATGTTTTGGCTTTAAAAATAAATTCAAAAAACCGATTAGACCAATTAAATCACCAATTTCACCTGTTTCACCATTTTTGCGGTTTTTTTCCGGTTCAAAGTAATATCAACTTTTTGGGACAACAACTAAATAGAGTTAGATCGATTGAACAGACGAGTCTGATCCAATTTGATAAGCATGAATTATACAATAACTTAATGATACAAAAAAATTTGCAATTAATACAGTAGAAAGTGGGTCTATGCTTCTTATAATTATGACCAAAAACGACTCCATTTATTTCTTATATATTATATAATACAGACTAAAGAGTACATACTACGCATATAAATACTCAAAAAACAAAACAGAGAACCCAAATTCAAGAAATGTATGATTATATTAACTCACAAATTACACATAATCGTCATCTATATGAGCAATAAGAACAGAGTAATGAAGGCAACTATTTGTGGAATATTTTAGCAAAAAAGAAAAGATCCAATCAATGGTGTTCCTGGGGGGAGGCGGGGTTAAAAATTGGTCTTTGAAGGATATATCATCGTAGTTCAACTATAGTTGCGAGAACCAGCAGCCACTACTGAATCCTAAAGCAGTCCAAGGCTGCTCAACTCCACTAAAGAGCATTCTTGACTACTATGCATATACCAAAAAAATCATGAAGAAAACACACTGTCAAATCAAAATTTCTATTTTTGGTTGAAAGAGTACAATATGAAACAGGATGAAATAACGAATTGAACAACCGCAAATTAAACTCTAATTCAAACCCAGATCACAAATGAGTGAAAAGCAAGGTGAATCCTAATTATGACCGTAAAAAGGCTATAGTTTTAGCACATTACAATAAATTATCAAAAAACAACAAAAATAAAACAAGACAGCATCAATTACATAGAACAAATTACACTAGTGATCTATCAATAAATCAACCCTTCAACAAAGCCACATAGAGCAAGGACTTTTTATATGGTGGGATGTAACAATCAGCAGACAAAGATATCAGAACTTCACTACCAAAACTAAACTCTGGCCATTCAGATTAATGTTAAGTCGCTAAACAACTCTGCTTAAATGGAAGTAACACACAATGTTCCTTAGAATCTAGAATCGCCCAAAAACGCAAATTGTTGCAGAGTTGTTGTCATTTAGCGCCCCGTGTATGTACTTACATGACTAAATTTGGCAATTATGGAAAATAGTAGAATATTTCCCCACCATTGAAAAATTGAAAACGGAATGATATATCCCCTCTAAGGCCTAAAGCTCATTCTTCTTCATTGTTGTTTTTTATCCCCCATGCTATCTTATAAAACAGTGGCTACATCAACACTTAAAATTTACCTCAAGCACCTTCCCACCCCAGTTTGACAGCACTTAAGTATCACAATTGCTCTAATAATTTCCATGCAATACTAAATTTTACAAACAAAAATCATCACGCGAGAAAATGAAAAGTAAAAATTAAACCACTGAAACAATCAAATATGAATCCCACCACCGCAACAAAAGAAGGGGTTACGAAATATAAACAAAATTTAAACTCAATTCCAACATTTTGTTTTCCTAATGAAAATAGAGGGAAAGAAATAGAAACCCACCTCTCACTAGGTTCTGAGAAGGAAAAAAAAAAACACTAATGGTTATGAACTTAAATTCGCTATTTACGTTTTCAATAATCAATCAGTAGATGTAAGTCATTTCACACTGGCAACACCCAAGAAACAACAAATTACGGACAAAAATTAAAAACTTCGAATCAAAATCTGCAAATACAGATAAACAGAAAATGAAAACATAGAAACAAAGAGAGAAGAGAAAGTGAGAGGAAGAGAAACCTTTTTCACCTGCAGAAGCCAATGGCGTCGCAAGGAAGAAAGGAATCAGCGGCAACAAACGAGTCCAGAATTACGTAAATATGTGAATATTCCTTTTAACTACAGTTAAGTAAAAGACATCTGTGGTAAGATCAGTGCTTAAAATAACGATTTTAAGGGAAATTATATTCTCTCAAAAACTAAAAATTGCATTTTTAGTCGTTTTACTTTTTTTTTAAAGATAAAATTTTATTATTCTTCAATAATCTAATATGAAAATTCTTTGATTTAATTTTTTAAAAATCATTTTTATAAAATTGGTTTTGAGAATAAGTTAAAAAAAACAACAACTTATTTTAATTTTAAAACAACTTATTAATTATTATTCATTAACATATTATCACGAGTAAAAAATTGTAAATATGAAGAATGAGTCTCTTCTAAAACTCCTATAATAAGGCATCATTTTGAACCGTATTAACAACATAATTCTTATTTTTCCTTTTTTTCTACAATTTTTCTTCCAATAATAGAATATTTGTTACAAATATCTTTTGAATTAACCTCTTTCTTCCTCTATTTTTTAACCATTTTGAATACTTTCAATCCAACAACTCATAACTTTTGTCCCAATATGTTGTGCATGGGTGTTTTTAACATTATATATTGATATTACTGTAATTGAAATAAATTATTTGACATGCGAATTTAACAAATAATTTATACATATTAATAATACAAGTATTGAGAGTATTTATAGAATTATTATTAAGAGTGGATATTTTATTATGAGTTTCACCTCTTATTTATTAAAAAAATAAGAAAATAACTTAAAATTAAAAGAAAGTTATTTATATAAAAATTTTAACTAAGTTTTAAATAATTTAATTATGATAAGGATAATAAAATAAATATTTAATTTTATTTTTAAGTAATTATTATTAAATTTTGTTTTATGTACTCTGACTTTAGAAAAAGAAAAAAAAGGGTAACATATATAAAAAAATAAACTAATATATACTTAAATTTTTATATATGATTTATCAAAGTGAATATCTAATCAAAAAAATATATAAAATTAAGATATATATACGAAAGAAAATAAAGTAAATCACTTTCTTTTTAAAAATGTTATTGTGAATAATAATTAATTCTTAATATATATATATATATATATATATATATATATATATATATAACTACATTAAAAATGCAGTCTATGATAAAGAATTCATAATTATTGTTTAATCTTAATAAAAAAAAGACTTATATTATATAAAAAATCATTTTGTAAAATAAATATTCATAATAAATTATAAATTGATATTTAAAATGATTTTTAACGTATTTTTATCATATTTAAATTATTTTTATAATAAAATAATCTCATACAACACATCGATTATACTGATAGTATGAATTAGACGTAAATTTAGAAGAATAAAGCAAAAACTGTATCTTCAATATTCTATTGAATTTCTTTACACGTTTCATTTAATATATCTTAATTAAATCACCACTTGATTTTCTGCATGTGTACGTGACTGAAGGAATCTTCTTTGAAGAATCAAGTGAATGCATGTCTATATATTATGTATTTACGTACGTGTCAATTATTTCTGATTGTACGAAATTCGGAAAATAAATTAGCATATCAATAATCACTATAATAATTGACGTGTTATTGTAAATAAAAAAGAGTTCGTAAGATATAGTAAAATTGAAAATTTAAAAGATAAGATATATATGAGAATAAATTAAAAATGTTAATAATTAACATTAAATTTAAAAAACATATTGTATTTGTTTTTTGTTTTAAAAAAAATTATTATATATATATATATATATATATATTCAATGTTTTTGAGAATTTCTTAATAATATAATTAAGGTTAATAACATATTGAAAGTATTATTTATTTTAAAAATTAAATCATCGTAATTTTATTATTAAAAAATATTTGATAAATTAAAGGAGAAAAATATATATAAATTATTATATATAATAAAGAAAATATAGTTATAATAAATAAAATAAAATAATAGTTAATATTGGGGATTGAAGACACTGATGCGAGACAGGGCATTGCATGTGCTTGTGTATATCTTGTTGTCTCAAAAGTTCAATTCCACCACCCAACCCTACTACATACATGTCGAGTGTAATGAGGAAACGCGTTTTCTAAAGATCAAAACCCCATCAAAGTCGTTAATAATCAGATCCAATTTAATATACATATCACCGACAACCGCGTATTCCATCTATAAAACCAGACACTTTCTCCGAGAATAATCATACATACATAGTACTACACTGGTACCTTAATTCTTTGTTTGGAGAAACAAAAGAAAAAAGAAAGCAAAAGTTGTTTGTTTCTTCCGAAATGGGGCCTCTTGTGATTTCTTCAAGTTTTCTTTGGTTTCTGTGCTTTGTTCTCAGTGCACACGTAGAAGCTAATAACGGTTGGCTTAACGCTCATGCAACGTTCTATGGGGCCAATCAAAATCCCACCACCCTTGGTAAGTCATTTCAAAAATTCAAGATATTTAGCTGTGAAAATCAAACACAATAATAAAACATGCAACAGAAACATCATAAAACATGAAGCAAACATTTGGTTGACGTTGAAAAATTCCCCCCATTACTTTCAGGAGGAGCTTGTGGCTACGATGACACATTTCATGCTGGGTTTGGTGTGAACACTGCCGCAGTGAGCACCATGCTATTCAGAGATGGTGAGGTTTGTGGAGCATGCTACCAAGTAATGTGTGACTTTAGGGCAGACTCCAAATGGTGCCTTATCAGCCGCAGTGTAACGGTAACCGCCACAAACTTTTGCCCTCCGAACAACCACGGAGGGTGGTGTGACCCCCCTTACCACCACTTCGACATGTCCATGCCAGCTTTCATTCGCATTGCACGACAGGGCAATGAAGGCATTGTGCCTGTTCTTTATAGAAGGTAATGGTGGAAAACACTTTGTTCCATCTTCTATCATTAAATTAACCATAGCATAAGTTTATTAAAAAAATGCAAAACCAATAGCTTGATTGAAAATCTTTAGCATGATTCTTAATTTTTTTTTAAGACTTAATCCTTGATATTTCTTGCATTAAAAATAAATCACGATTCATGATCAGAGAAGGTAGAGGAAAAAAAGAAAAAGATTTTTCCAATATTATGTGAAGATCGGTGTGAAAAATATGTAAAACAATTCCGAATCAGTTTTAAAAGGTGAATAAGGTTCATGTTGAATGATGCTTCAATATTCCTCCTATTTCTATTTCATATTAATTAATTAATCTTACAATCATTAATTAATCATGATTACAAATAGTTAATTTAGTTTTTAATAATAAATGTATTATAAATTTATAATTTTTTTAAATTATTCTTATCATTAATACTATTTTCTTCTATCCATATAATATATTTCATTAATAATTAACTAAAAATAAACATTAACTCATTTTTAAAATAGTGAGGCAAAATTAAAAAATAATAACACAAAAAACCTATAGTTTTTTTTTAATTCATAATAATTAAACAATAAATTATTTTATAAAAAAGTGACCATCTTTAAGCATCTATTGACATTTTCCCTCTTTCTTTTCCATATTTTTTCATAATTAGTAATATGCACAACTTATCGAGATGAAAGCATATGAGATGTAATCTCACCAAAACGAGAAACACTAATTCCTTGTATGTTATATTAACAGTATCACTATCCAGAAGATAATTTGTAAGAGAAAAAATTTATAAATTTTAATTTTAATTTGTTCATAATTACGTGTTTATATACTGCTTAATCTTTCTTTAATTACATGACCAGCCTACCGTGTATTTTCAGGTTTAGAACGTGTAAATAGAAAGGTTAATATGCTATAGGATCTGTCCATAGAATAGAAAAACTAACAACATCAACAATGCCAAAAGAAACAGCTTTACTTGTTTTATGTAGTCAAAAGAAAATGGTAATTGATGAACCATGAGGTGAGGTGAGGAAAGGAGAGGGTTAAAAACAAAGTAATGTGAGCAGAGTACATTTGATAATTCATTCAGTGACACATGATTTCTCATTTGATGTGCTTAATGTGAAGGGTGGCGTGCAAGAGAAGAGGGGGAGTGAGGTTCACACTGAAGGGGCAATCCAATTTCAACATGGTGATGATATCCAATGTTGGTGGGAGTGGGGGTGTGAAAGCTGTGTGGATCAGAGGATCCAGAAGTGGAGCATGGTTGGCAATGCACAGGAACTGGGGAGCCAACTGGCAGAGCAGTGCAGATCTCAGAAACCAGAGACTCTCATTCAAGATCACATTGGTTGATGGCATGACTCTGGTCTTCCTCAATGTGGTGCCTTCCACTTGGAGGTTTGGACAAACATTTTCATCCAGAACTCAGTTCTTGTAGCTGCTAGCTTGAGATGATGATATCTGGAACTAGACACAGCAACATTAACTTTTCCACAACCATGCCATTTTTACAAGGCTGGAGTGGAGGATATATTTGATCTCGTGTCATACATCATACAGTTTCTTCTATTCTTCCTTTCTCACTTGATACTATTGCCTAAGAGAATTCAATAATGCAGTTGTGCACTAGTGCTAAGCTTGTATTCTGCATATGCAGAGTCAAATGTGTGTTCCTAAATGCTCCAATTTTTGGGAGTGTTTATATGTTTCTTAAGCATAATTTTTTTCCTAATTAATACATTTTATAATAATTTTAAATATCTTCGCCGAAATATCCATGCATTATTACTTTCAATCTTTATAATAGTTATTTTAATATTATTTTAATGAGAATATAGAAGATAACCACAATATAAAATTGTTTTATATTATATTACATCATAAATCACTATTTATTTCTACAAAAGTAAAAAAAAAAAAATTCATTGTATAAGTGCATAACCTATTGATTCATTGTTTTATAAAATAATTTACTCATTTAAGCTTTGAGTTTGAGGGTTCGAACTCACCCTTTTGAAAATTGGGCCTTGACATCCCAGCCCAATAAGACAAGTTCGGGCTTTTTACGCGTGACTATGCTCTCTTCAGCGTTGCTCGCAACCATCGATCCTTTTCTTCTTTCTTACCACTCCACTCCTTTTCGCAGCGTTTACAAACATTTCAACGAACAGTTGATCTGCGTTTGGCAATGTCGTGGAAGCAGTTATTCTCTGCGTCTCGGAACTTCGCCGCCACTTTTGTGCGTCAATGCTCTTCCACGGCCACCACAAACCGTAGAAACCTCTATTCCCGAATCAGTCCCCTCGGTGACCCTTCCCTCAGCGTAGTCCCCGTTCTAGACCAGTGGATCCAGGAAGGAAACGCCGTTAACGCCCCCCTCCTCCAACGCATCATCAAAGTCCTCCGTTCTCGCAAGCGCTTCACCCAAGCACTTCAGGTTCGTAACTTTTCTGTTTGTTTCGTTGTGAAGCAAAAGAACTGAGCTGATTAAGAACACGCACTGATTCTTTGCATCTGGAATGTACATGCTAGTCTTAGTTCTTAAGGTTAGTGGAAACGGATTAACCGGAATAGAGTTTACTCCTTAAGTTAGGGTATTTGATTTGATGAAAGGATTTATTTTGAGTTCACTGATTGTATTTTTTTATTACGACTAAGTCACCTTATTTTTATTTTATTTTAAAAATCTGTATAAGAAATAATATTAATTTGACTTAATAATATTTTAGTCTCTAAATTTTAATTCTGATTTCCTAAATTTAAATAAATAAATATATATATATATATTATTTTAATTTTTAAACCTTAAATTTGATAGAGTAAAATGATTTTCTTACAAACAGTTTTTTAATCTTTAAAATTTAGTATTTAGGAACTAAAATCATGTATTTAAATTTCAGGAAATATAATATATTTTTTTTAATTTTAAAAAGAATTTATCCCAAATAACAGATATAAAAAATATAATTAAACTTTTTTATATATTTAAATGTCAGTACTTTGGTCCTTAAAAATATGAAAATTTTCATTTAAACCGTAAATTTTAATTAACTAAAATAAGATCCCTTAGTTCCACATCTCAATTATATATTTCATTTATATATATATATATATATATATATATATATATATATATATATATATATATATATATATATAGGGATGACCATTAAACTCGTATTCATGGGAACAGATCTGTCTCGTCCCGTCCCGAATTTGACGGGAAAACTCGAGTTGACCGGGGATGGGTTCGGGTTTTCACGCTTTAAAAAGTCGGGGACGGGGATAGGTAATGCAATCTTCATCCCGACCCGTCCTCGTCCCGACTTTATATTTAAATTTAAATTTTAAAATATTAATTTTTTAAAAATATTTTATTTTTTTTTCTATTATATATAAAATCATTTTTTATATTTCACTCATTTTTATTTTTCTTCTACCCACTTTTTAATTTTTTTTTATCTTTTTCAATTTTCTATATCAATTAATTTATTATATTATTCTCACTCTTATCTTTCAATTTTTCACATTTTCTTAATCTCTTCCATCAATTTGTTTTTTTTTTTAATCTTTTCAACCTATTTGATGAACACAAAGTTAATTTTTTTTATCTTTTTCTAAATATTTTACATAAATTTTAGTAGTAATTAATATTAGTTTATTTATAATTTATATTTATTATGTCATATTTTTTTATCTTATTATGCTTATTTATCATATATCAAATTTTATCTTAATAAAATAATTATATTTTAAAGGATTAAAAAGAATTGATAATTTAAACTTTTATTACTTCGAACTAATTAAATAAGAATTAACTTATTAAATATTTTCTTATAAACTATATATTTCATATTTTTAAATGATAACTTAAAAATGAATTAATTTATATATATATAATCAAATGTTTGAATACAATATTATAATAATAATGTTATAAATATTCAAATATTTGAATACAGTGTTATAATAATAATAATATTATTATTATTATAAATATTAGATATATATAAATAAAAAATGATTAAATATTTTTTTTACGTACATATTTTAATATAAATATAATAAATTAAAATATATATTTAATTAATAATAATTATAAATTATAAATATTTATTTATATATAAAAATACATAGTAAAATTAATTTATTATAAATGTAATTATTTTTTTAAAAATAATCTAGATCGGGAACGGGCGGGGGTGGGAAACACTGAAACCCAGCGGGGACGGGGATCGTTCAAAAAGTCGGGGCGGGGATCGGGAGGCAAAACCCGCCCCTCGCCCCGTTGTCATGCCTAATTTATATATATATATATATATATATATATATATATATATATATATATCCTTAATAACAATTTAATCCATTTTAAAAGACAACAAATTTATCGTAAATGACATATGGTGATTGGGTAATATTTAAAAATATTGATACTTGTATTAATTTCTCTATTCTTTTATGATGTTTAATTTTTTTTTATATTACAAATCTTAAAATAAAGATTTTTATACTATTAATTTCCGTGTATTACATTATTTTCTTTAACTTTCAAATAAATCATTTCAAAACTTGTCAAGTGCTTGGATCAATGAGCAAATGATTATTTGCTTTATAACTGGTTCTAAGTTTTAATCTTTGTACATTAATGTCAAATATTTAGAAGAACGACTGTGTCATTAAAAATTATTCTATTAGACACTGATTATCTCACGTGAAAGATAATTGTTGCTTGTACAAAAGAAAAGTTAGTAAAAAGATCACAATGTTCATTTTATATGACAATCTATAATTTGGTGACAGCAGGGTGATGTTCTTCAGAGCGGAAGGATCCAATATTTTCTTCAATATATATATATATATATATATATATATATATATATATATATATATAACTTATTTCTTATTACAAAAATTATTCTTAGCCAAAAAAAACTTGGCACCTTCAAACTTTTGAATGAATCTCCATCACGGGTGACGGGAAAGTCTGTATTCTATCTAGTTTTTTACTTTCTATTTTTTACATTTAAATAAAAAACAAGGTGAAAAGAAATGTTTTAATACATCGTGACACTTTTTTTTTTTAATTAGATAAAATTCATATAGGTTCCACAGTGTAGACATTTCTAAACAGTGTGTAATGTGAAGAGTGTTGCTAGCCCTCTTGGATGAAGAGAAAAGAAAACTGAAAATGAAGTATTGAACGATGATTGAGGCTTTTCTTTTTGTAATTGTTCCTGGTTACGTACCAATTACTGAGATATCTTCAATCTTAATATGTTCAGGTTTCTGAATGGATGAGTAGCAAAGGGATTTGCCTAATTTCCCCGGGTGACCAAGCGGTGCAGCTAGATCTCATTGGTAGGGTTCATGGAGTGGAGACTGCAGAGAGATATTTTCAGAGTTTGAGTGATGGAGACAAAAATTGGAAGCTTCACGGTGCTCTTTTGAACTGTTATGTGAGACAGGGATTGGTTGAAAAGTCACTCTCCCAGATGCAGAAGATGAAGGACATGGGTTTTGTTTCGTTTCTCAATTACAACAACATAATGTGCCTCTACATGCAAACCGAACAACTTGAGAGAGTCCCTGATGTTTTGGCTCAGATGAAGGAGGATGGTGTTCCTCCAAACATTTTCAGCTACAGGATTTGCATGAACTCTTATGGCGCGAGAGGTGACCTCGCGAATGTGGAGAAACTGTTGGAGGAGTTGGAGAGGGAACCCCACGTTGGCACAGATTGGATGACATATGTTATGGTGGCCAGGTTCTACATAAAAGCAGACATGAAGGAAAAGGCATTGATGTACCTGAAGAAGTGTGAGGAAAAGGCAGACAAGCGAGACGCGCTTGCCTACAACCATCTGATTTCACACTATGCAAGTCTTGGAAGCAAGAGTGCCGTAATGAGGATTTGGAGGCTGCAGAAAGCCAACTGCAAGAAGCAGTTTAACAATGAGTATATAACCATGTTGGGATGTTTGGTGAAGATGGGGGAGCTTGATCAAGCTGAAGAAGTACTCCATGAGTGGGAGTTATCTGGTAACACTTATGATTTCAGAGTACCTAACATCCTTCTGATTGGGTATTCCCAAAGGGGATTGGTGGAGAAAGCAGAAGCACTGCTCCGGAATATGGTTGCGAAAGGGAAGACGCCGACTCCGAACAGTTGGAGCATCATTTCATCTGCGTATGTGGCTAAGGAGAACATGGAGAAGGCATTTCAGTGCATGAAGGAGGCTGTGGCTGTGCAAGCACAGAATAAACGTTGGAGACCAAATGCTGATGTTATTTCCAGCATATTGAGTTGGGTCAATATTAACAAAGATAAAGGGGAAGTGGAAGATTTCGTCAATTCATTGAAGACTGTCCTTGATCAAGATGGTAGATGTGGGAAGGATGTAGATGGGCATTTAGAAAGTATGAAAGTTAATAATATTGAGATGGAAGAAGAGATAAAGGAAACTCCTTAACTCATAATGAAGGTTTTAAAAAAAATGGTCTACAACTGCAATTGCCATTGCAACGTTAGAGATTTCTCTGGGATAACATCATGCTGTAATTGTGGCTATTTGTTCACATTTTCCAACAATATCAAGGGCTCACGGGTGTTGGTATTTTTTAGGCCCTTCAGATTTTATAGCCTTACAATCATTCAGTGTTCAATGAAACCTGCGAGATCCCAAAACAGCATTGTGCGTGCGTTGATATTCAAAGGCTATTTATATGCTATAGGCCCATTCTGCAATCCTAAGAGGATTGGACTCTGAATCTGATGCTGCAATGTTGGATGTAATTTACGATGAATTGAAGAATTTGGTGGTTAGGTTTCAATAACCATTTTAAAACTATAGAAGTTCGAACTACTAGAAATAATAACGACATTGCTTGATGTTTGAACAGCAAGCAATGTAGGGTGAAAGTCCAAAACATCTGCAAAATACTTAAGAATATATTTAATATATCTGAAATTAATATAGAAGATTTTTATGATATCATGTAACTCATTAGCTGTCTAATTGGAGAGTAGTTCCCTATTTATTTTTTCTTATTTAATTGAAATTATTAATCTTAATGTTTTTATTGAGCTTGAGTTGATCTTCTACTTCTAGTATTTTTCTACATGACCAAATTATTGGTATATAAAACAAATATGGCATTAGGTTTGGGTTTCTTGTTGTCATTATAGGACAAATGCAGCCCATTTGGGGTGGTAAAAAAAAAACTAGTGTATGCAGTTAGCTACAAATGACTTCTTTGCGAGTACAATAGCTATGGGGAAGGGGAAATGGGGTAAAGAAGAAAGCAGTGAAAATGGGACCAGGAAAGTAGAAATTATTTTAATGTCCATGCCTTGTGGTCCTCACCAGACTTAACATGTGATTCTTGTCAATTTTTACGTGATATGGAAGTGCATAAAAAGTTAATAATACAGGACAAAGTTAAAGTTTGGTCATTTGTATTTCTTATTTGAGTTTCAAACACTTCACTTTAATTCTTTTAAAATGTCTCTGCTAGCAAAAGTAGTTGATCTTATGCATTAATGTTAATTTTCAGAGTAAAGTATTATAACACTTGATATTATTTTTAAAATATACTCACACTCCTTACGTTTTATACTGTTATCATGGTCTTCTCTCCTTTATTTGAAGTGTTTGTATCATATTTTAAAATTAAGGGAGATAATATAATACTTTTAAAATAAAATATAAATTTTATATTCAGTTCAATAAATTTAGTTCTTTTGTCGTATCCAGAGTTCCATATTAATATGCATTTTATTAAATAAATTACAATTTTTATACAATCTCAATATCTTTGGTATTGGTAAAAAATTCTCTTAAATAAAAGAAAAAATTGAATAGAAATTAAAAACATTAAAGTGTATTGTATAATTAAAAGAATTTTTTTTCAAAGGTGACATTCAGTTGACATACATTTCATATATATATATATATATATATATATATATATATATATATAAACTTAAAATATTAAACTGGAAAAAAATATAGATGAAAAATACAATTTTTGTGTTGTGAGAGATTAATAATTTGTATAGAGTAATTGATTCTTGAGGAATGTTGGGAAATCTGAGAGGTGTTGGTGGGAGAGAGAAGACAGAAAAGGGTCACAGATGGGCAAAACTGAGAAGGGAAACACTTTTCTCTGTCATCTGCCATTTCCAGTGGAGGAACGGAATATTTTGTGTGGGCCTCACTGTCAGATATTTATCTTACTTTTCGTATGGTATAAGAGAATATATATTGAAAACAATTTTACATTCACTTTTATTCATATAATAAAATAGTAAATTTGTTTAGTTTTACAATAATCATTTAGAAAGAATCATACAAATGATAATTTCTTATTAGTCCAGATGTTTAAAATTGTTAATACTTATTAAATTTTAAATTATGTTATTTGAAAATTTATTGGAAAAAATATTAATGTAAAAATTGTCACATATAAAATAAAATAGATTTATAAAATAATCATTGTCTTTTTTTTTAAGCAAAACATACACATTTTTTCAAACTATTATTATTATTGTTTCAAATTGTTTATATTATAAACTAAAAATTGCTCATCATGGTTTAAAATTTCTAATCATTATTTTAGAAAATTATACATTAATTAAATATTTTCACGTTATTTATTTTTAACTATACTGAAATAGTATCATTTTTTAAATATACGCGAGGGACTATTTTATTTTTTTAGCAACATCCTAAGAGTTTTAAAAAAGTCATTTTTATTTATTTAAATAAAGTTAAAAATCATTTTTTTTCAAAAATATTAAACCTTTTTTATACACATTTTAATGAAATCAATTATGTTAAATTATTTAAATTTGATAACACGTGCATTAAAAAATCCTTTTAAAATAACCAAATCAAATTTAAAAATAAATTTTAAAATAAACAACCTATTTTTAAATTAAAAAGTGTAAAGTTTTTCAAAATATTAAACTTCAAGCACTATAAGCCAATATTGAGATCTAAAGAAGATTGATTGGACATTGGTTGCAACATGGTTGGATGAAATGGTATGTATTTAATGATTATTAGGTCATGAGATCCCATTCACCATTTAACACTATTCAAAGTTGAAGCTACTCCCAAGCACAAATTGATGGGGAAACATTTTAGAGTATTTGTATGATATATCATATAATTGATAACATACTTAACTTTTTTTTCATATTAATTTTTTTTACCACATTATTGATTAAATAGATAATATGAGTATTATATATAATTTTTCATTCTTTTTATTATAATCATATACAATATATAAAAAAAGGTGTGGCTGAAATAAAAAAGGTAGAAAAGATGAAACCTTTCAAAGAAGGAAAGAGGAATCAGAGAGATAGTAATAGTGGACCCACAAATTTGATTCTTTATTATAATAATTCTCACCACATATATATTTAAAAAAAAAAATTGTGAATATTTAATTGATTTTATTTTTAAATTTTTAACATAACCACCGTCCTTTCCTAATTTGAAAACTAGCTAAGTTTCTGGTGTAGTTTTTAAGGCAATGGCTTGTCTCGGCTTCGGCTAACGGCTCAGTCTTCCCTACAAGCTTACTGCTTCCACAAATTTATACACAAATAGTGTGCCACTAATCAAAATTAGGTTAAAACTTTATAATTATCGATTCTATTGATAATCCTAAATTTTTAATTTATATTTCTATATTTATTTTTACTAGTTAGTGATAATAAATTATTACAATACATATTTGATAGGTAGACAGTTTTGAACATGAAGAAAAAGACTAAAGGGTTCACTTTTTTCCCCCTTCAATTCCAGCTATCACTCAATTATTTATGTTATCTAAAGATCAATAAAAACTACTCTTGTCGTTGACCAAAATGTTTTCATGTAACTATTTCGTGGATTTAATTAATTAATTAATTGTAGCTTTGTAATATCATTCATTTAAATCAAATAAATATACGTTAATTTTTTTTCCAAAGAGAACATTAAAAATATTTAATTAAGAAACAAAGAAATGACTACTTTCTCTCTCATTCACTTCATGTAGTTTATAAAAGGAATCTCTTTCTCTTTCTTTCCTTTTACTTTGTTGGAGTAATGTGTGAGACACTTGGGCAATGCAGTTAACTTAAGCCGAGCAAGTAGAGCCTTGCCTTGGAGAAGCCACAGAACAAGGCCTTAAAATAACAACTACTTTAGAAAATCTCTGTCTTAGCATGTCCTGAACTTTTCATTATTATATAAACCCAAATCTAAACACTTTTGCTTTTTCACACACCCTTTCACGCTCCCCTCCCTACCTTCTTTCTGCTCTGCCCCTTCTTCGGCCTCCTCACTCTCCTCTCTCCCAATGCTAAATTGAAGCAAAGGTTGCAGCTTGGTAGAGACACACACATATATTTGAAGAATGAGGGGTCCTTTGGGTGCAGTAATAGGGAGGTTTCCATCAAGTGATGGAGTTACACAAATGGGTGGAATTATAAGACACAACAGGAAATGCAGGGACATCACTGTTCTTGTGATCTTCATAGCGTTTTGGGTAGCAATGGTTGTCAACTCCAGCTTTGCTTTCAACCAAGGAAACCCATTAAGGTGAGTAATATAAAGTTTCAAACTTTATCTGTGTTGGAGCTGGGAACGGAGATTCTGCTAGTGGCAAGTTGTGGTTTTGAATGTAGGGTTTAACACATAGGATGATGTCTCTGAATGGGGTTCTTTTATGGTGCTTGTTGTTAGGTGAAATTTGTAATGAATGCATTTTTCTAGCTCGTACTCTATGACTTTTCCTTTTTCTTTTTTTGGAGGCTTTGATTAATTTACTTGATTAAGAATTTATAAAAAAAGGCACCATTTTCTTAGTAAACGGGTTTTCTCATTTCTGCGTAAGGTATGGTTCAGATTACATGGAATTCGGATTTTGAGATAACTCATGGATCAAATAATTCAATTTTGATTTTGGCAAATGTTTACCTACTGGGTCTATCAACTGCCACATTATTTTCCCAACTTGGGATCAATTTTGTTGTTTTTTTGGCTGCTGAAGAGCTCGAAGCAGGAAGTGGTACTTGAATGTGTAGCAACATGAGGTCAATAGCTTTTATTCTCCTTCTTGCTGTTAACATTATGTAACTTGTGATTACTGGCACTGTGACTTACCAGGCTTACTTATGGACTGGACTACAAAGGGAATGTGTGTGGGGACAAGAATGCACACCCTGGCCTTAGTGAATTGGAGCTCAGATATTGGCAAAATCCTAATCAGGTTTATGAGAGTGGATTGAAGGATAGCCAAGTCAAACTGGTCGATGCCCGCAGTATATGCTTGTCCGACTGCCCTGTACCTTCTGAAGATTCCCTTAATTGGGTCTGTGATTATCCCGAAGGAGATATTCGTCTTTCCATGAAAGATTGGACTAGTAGGAACTATGATTATTTCGAGTTCCTTACACCAGAAATGAGAAATTCCTCTCTTCAACTTCAGGGTCCATGTTATCCTGTCATATTTCCCAGTGTAAATGGTGAGCAAACTGCTCTATTTTGATGCATTCATAAATTCATATGTTGTTGTATGTTTGCTAATGGTTGTGTGGATGCATTGCTTCGATTCTTTTACATGGATGCATGTATGTTGTTGGGAAAAGTACACAAAACTTTCTCATGTAGTCAGATCTGTGAAAGTGAAATAAAAACGAAATAAAGACGGAATAATTGGATACACCAATTGATAACGGAGTTCGGCCAAAATTGCCTACGTCTCCGGACTACTGCAGATATTTTACTGGGAGAAAAAAAAATACACAGGTGTTTACAAAGCACTCTCAAAACACAGGTGTTTACACCGAAAAGCTAGATTATTTTCTTTTTGCTTCTTGTTGGCTAACTCTTGTAATGGTTGCTTGGGAATTGGATGATCCAAATGAGTGTAGTGAAAGAAATAATATAGCTTTTGGGTGTAATTGGGTTGAGGGTTGCGAGTGTTTTGAGAGTGCTTTGTAAACACCTGTGTATTTTCTTTTCTCCCAGTAAAATATCTGCAGTAGTCTGGAGATGTAGGCAATTTTGGCCGAACTCCGTTATCAATTGGTGTGTCCAATTGTTCCGTCTTTATATCGTTTTTATTTAACTTTCACAGATCTGACTACATGAGAAAGTTCTGTGTATTTTTCCCAACAACTGGTATCAAAGCATTTAAGGCTTTTCATGTTTTCTTGTCTCCAACCACTTGCCACCTTTTTTTGACTTTTCAAACACCAACAATTTTCTGTTGTTCCTTGTAGATATCTCAGAATCCACTTGACGGCTTCCCAGTGAGCCTTTCCTAGATTTGCCATAAACCTGCTCACAACTCCCACTGCATGACCAATGTCTGGCCTTGTACAGACCATTGCGTACATCAAACTTCCAATGGCTGAAGCATACGGAACCTTAGCCATAATTTCTTCTTCTTCCTTTGTTTGAGGAGACTGATCCTTAGATAGACGAAAATGACTGGCCAAAGGTGTTCTGACTGGTTTGGCCTTGTCCATGTTAAATCTTTGCAAAACACGGTTGATGTACTCCTCTTGAGATAACTGTAAAACTTCTTTTTGCTTATCTCTCGTGATTTGCATTCCAAGAATCTTCTTTGTTGGTCCTAAGTTCTTCATGTTAAGTTCCTTTGACAACTGCATCTTTAAATTTCTGATATCCCTCATATTTGAACTTGCTACTAACATGTCATCAACATAAAGTAGCAATATGATATAGCTGTACTTATACCTCTTGAAGAAACAACAGTGATCGGCATTGCACTTCTGGAAACCTTCCTTGTGCATGAAACTTTCAAACTTCCAGTACCACTGTCTTGGAGCTTGTTTCAGACCGTACAAGCTCTTCTTCAATTTGCACACCATATCCTTCTTTCCTTCTGAAAATCCTTCAGGTTGATGCATGTAGATCTCCTCATCTAAGTCTCTGTGGAGAAATGTAGTCTTCACATCTAATTGCTCTAGGTAGAGCTCTTCACTAGCCACAATACTTAACACTGTTCTGATAGTATTGAACTTTACGACTGGAGCAAAGATTTCAGTGTAGTCAACTCCTTTTTTCTGCTGAAATCCTTTGACAACTAGTTGGACTTTGTATCTCTTGGAACCGTCATGGTCTTCCTTCACCCAATACACCCATTTGTTGTGAAGTGCTTTCTTCCCCATAAGTAACTTGACTAGTTCCCATGTCTGATTGGAGATCAGAGACTTCATCTCTTCTTTCATGGCAAGCTCCCACTTGCTAGCATCTGTGGTTTGACAAGCTTCTATATAATCTTCGGGCTCCCCTCCATCAGTTAGCAACATGTAGTCCATGTATCTCCTGTTTGGCACATGAGGTCTAGAGGACCTTCTCAATACAGGAGTTGGAGTAAGAGGTTATGGTTGCACATCACCTTCAATTGATTCCTCTGACTGAGGACTCCTCATTATAGGATTTTCTGGGACATCTTCCACTTTTGCAAAAACTGGCTCACTCGATTCTGAATTGCTAATACCTGTTTTATGCATGTCCTTGTAAAACACTCTTTCATTGAAGATTACATCTCTACTGCGGATCAACTTTTTATTTTCATCATCCCATATGCGGTAGCCACACTCATCTTCACCATAACCAATGAAAGTGCACTTCTTTGATTTTGGGTCAAGTTTGTTTCTACCTTGATCACTGATATGGACATATGCTACACAGTCGAAAACTCTAAGATGTGAGAGTTTTACCTATTTCCCGCTCCATACCTCTTCTGGTATTCCGTGCTCCAATGATGGACTTCGGTTGATCAAGTAAGCTGCTGTGTTGACTGTTTCTGCCTAGAACTGCTTTGATAAGTCTGACTGTACACGCAAGCTTCAGGCTCTTTCAGTCAACGTTCGATTCATACGCTCAACTACACCATTGTGTTGAGGCGTACCAGGCACGGTCCTCTCCATTCTGATTCCGTGCTCATAGCAAAACTTCTTGAATCTGGCTGGTGTCTACATATTCACCACCATTGTCGAATCTGAGCTTCTTAATCTTCAATCCTGTTTCATTTTCTACCATAGCTTTCCAAATCTTGAAAGCTTCAAATACTTCTGACTTGTGTTTTGAAAGCTTCAAATACTTCTGACTTGTGTTTCAGAAAGTAAACTCATACCTTTCTGGAGTGATCATTGATAAACGTCACGAAGTATTGCTTCCCACCAACGGATGGGACAGTCGTTGGACCCCAAACATCAAAGTGGATGAACTCAAGTCTCTCTTTCTTTGGAGTTCTTCTATTTGTCTGAAAGCTAACTCTCTTCTGCTTTCCAAGTATGCAGTCTTCACACATGTCAATTTCTACTGACTGAAGACCTGGTAGTTTTCCTTTTGAGTGCATGATCTTCATCCCTTTCTCACTCATATGCCCAAGTCTTTGGTGCCATAGATTGGGATTTTCATTTGCTGCAACTACAATCAAATGGCATGCTCCTGCAGTCTTGTAAAGAGTACCACTCTTTTTGCCTCGAGCAATTGTCATTGCACCCTTTGAGATCTTTCAATTATCACCGTGGAAGATTGTTGTGTAACCTTTACTGGCTAACTAACTCACTGAGATTAAGTTCTTTGTCAAGTCGGGAATATGTCTGACATTTTTCAATTCCCATACAGACCCGTTCAACTTAATCTTTACTGTACCTTTACCTACAATCTCACACGATTGCTCATTACCAAGGTAAACTTTACCAAGATTTTCGGGAACATAATTCTCGAACAGTTGCTTTAGTGAGGTAGCATGGAAAGATGCTCGAGAGTCTAACACCCAAGACTCCTCCTTGCTTTCTAAAAAGCATATCAACACATCATCTTTCCCTGAGGTAGAGGCAATGTTTGCCTCGTCCTTCGCTTCTTGATTTTTTCGTGCATTCTTGCACTGATTTTTGTAATGCCCGCTCTTCCCACAATTCCAACACTCGATTTGTTTCAAGTTTTGGGAACTACGATGATTTCTGGACTTGGATCGTTTGCCCTTTGATTTTCCGCGTCCGCTTTCTTTGGTTGAACTTCTTCCTCTTGACTTTGTATGCAATACTGAAGAGGTTGATGATTCACCCGACTCCCTCCGTCGGATCTCTTCACTGAGAACCAAATTACGAACATCATCAAATTTTAACTTATTGCTTCCCGATGAGCTACTCACAGCTGTGGCAGTAGCATTCCAACTTTCTGGTAGAAGACAAAAGTATCAAAGCTCGTACTTCATCATCGAACTCGATCCCAACTGAACTCAACTGAGTTGTAACAGTATTGAGTTCATTGATATGTTGCGCCGTTGAAGCGCCTTCAGACATCCGTAGATTGAACAACTGCCTCATCAAATGAACTTTGTTTGAGGCTGATGGTTTCTCGTACATACTGGAAAGAGTATCCATAAGACCTACTGTCGTCTTTTCTTTTGCAATGTTAAAAGTAACATTACGGGATAACGTCAGTTGAATGGCTCAAAGGGCCTTTTTGTCGAGAAGAGTCCATTCCTCATCTTTCATATCCTCTGGTTTCTTTCCTGTGAGTGGTTCGTACATATCCTTCTGATACAGGTAATCCTCGATCTGCATCTTCCAGAACCCAAAGTTCGCACCATCGAACTTCTTGATTTTCACTTTTCCTTCATCTGTAGCCATTACTCCAACTCAGATCTGACTTTTCTAGATCGTTTCTAACAATTTCTGTGAACTACCGTATTTCGGAACACGTCTGTAGATAATTTTGTAGCACCGACAAAATTTTTACTATTCACGTTTTTACTATTCACGGAATAGTAAATTCACTATTTATATGAATAGTGTCACCACAAAAATTGCAGAGTTAACAAGCTCTGATACCAGTTGTTGGGAAAAATACACATAACTTTCTCATGTAGTCAAATATGTGAAAGTGAAATAAAAACGAAATAAAGACGGAATAATTGGACACACCAATTGATAACGGAGTTCGGCCAAAATTGCCTACGTCTCAGGACTACTGCAGATATTTTACTGGGAGAAAAGAAAATACACAGGTGTTTACAAAGCATTCTCAAAACACTCGCAACCCTCAACCCAATTACACCCAGAAGCTAGATTATTTTCTTTCTGCTTCTTGCTGGCTAACTCTTGTAATGGTTGCTTGAGAATTGGATGATCCAAATGAGTGAAGTGAAAGAGCATTTTATAGCAAAAAAATGGTTCTTGTGCATTTAAGGTTTTCCGTGTTTTCTTGTCTCCAACCACTTGTCAACCAACCACTTGCCACATTTTTTTAACTTTCAAAAGTCAAAAAAAGGTGGCAAGTGGTTGGTTGGCAAGTGGTTGGAGACAAGAAAACACGGAAAACCTTAAATGCATAAGAACCATTTTTTGCTATAAAATGCTCTTTCACTTCACTCATTTGGATCATCCAATTCTCAAGCAACCATTACAAGAGTTAGCCAGCAAGAAGCAGAAAGAAAATAATCTAGCTTCTGGGTGTAATTGGGTTGAGGGTTGCGAGTGTTTTGAGAGTGCTTTGTAAACACCTGTGTATTTTCTTTTCTCCCAGTAAAATATCTGCAGTAGTCCGGAGACGTAGGCAATTTTGGCCGAACTCCGTTATCAATTGGTGTGTCCAATTATTCCGTTTTTATTTCACTTTCACATATCTGACTACATGAGAAAGTTCTGTGTATTTTTCCCAACATGTATGCCCCTTGTGCGAAAGACATTCATTTTACTTTTACTGACTTCTGTTTTATGTTTTCTTTATAATTTTTTTTGTGGGTGGGTTTGATAGAGAACTGTCTATCATTTATATATTGAATTTTTATTGTGCCTGGTCCTTATGCTTATTTTTGTCTAGTTTACTGGAGTTGCCAATTTATTGCTCGAGCATCAAATACGTCTTTGAAGCATTGGCAGCAAATGGGCGGAGTTAACATCAATGAAGACATTGTTATTGATAAGTCCATCCACAAGTCTATTAATTCTCGGTCAGCTGTCTTAAAGGTTAAAACATTTTTACTGCTACTGTTTTATTTATTTATTGGTATTTTGATTGTGATTTTGTTCAGAGAAAGTATAACCATCAAAATCCATATTCTATCTGTGGCATATTGTATTATTGGCATTTTCTCCAAACTATTTCAGATGGTAGTTGCTTTGTGTAGTTTATTGACTGCAATATCATCTCCCTTTGTCTGTCTTAGCCAGATGGGGAATACTCATTATAAGAAAGGTTCTTGGTTGGATTGAAAATGCTAATAGTTTAGTGAAGGTTTAAAAATTATGATGCTTGTAGATAGATATGCATTATGTGTTGAATCTGAATAGCATATCTATTTCCATCTCTCCTATTTTTCTCAAATTTATACTTCTACAGTGCATCCTATCAAACATTGATTATCTATATTTTTTACGTTGTGCCATGCAGTGTCATGTGTATTATGTGCCGTGGAATTTCAATCTAACATGATCTATATTTTGCAGAGATACATGGCAGACATAGGAAAGGCATGGCCGGTTCTGATTGTCTGTGGAGGGTTTTTGCCACTTTTTCTGTCTGTGATTTGGTTGATGATGATTCGACATTTTGTTGCTGCAATGCCTTGGATAACAGTTGTTCTATTTAATGTTCTAATAATATCTGTCACAATGTTCTACTACCTAAAAGGTTAGTAACAATGTTTCGCTGTTTCTTTTTAATTTTTTAAATGAAAAAAAAAACATTTTTTATCAAAATATCATTATACAGATGTTGAAATATTATGAGCACTCTTTTTAGATTAATGTCCTTTTGTTTCTCCTTTATCCATTCTATTTTTTTAATGCTTGGTCCTTTCTAACAGCATAGCCTCTCTTAACTTTTGTGTGATTATTGTTCACATAAGGCCCTTGTATCAACTGTGCTTTTATATCCTATAGTATTTGATATCAAAACAGAAAAATCTTTGTTGAATTTTGTATTAAGGCAAAGGCACAACCATTGTAAGATATTTTTTGTTTTATAACTTACAATAAACACAGAAATAGATTCCCAGGCCAGACTCATTCCACACATGTTTTGGTAAAATATTCAGCTTTCAGTGTACTATTGAAAATGCTGTATTGTTGAGTTTTCTGGGAGATTGCATATTATTGATTAGATCTTATACTGATCTTTCTCTAAGTTTATATTTTGTTTAAGCAAATAATATATTTTTTTTATCGGGTTGTTCGACGATCATCTGTCAATAATGCTGAATTAATTTTTCTTCATAATTATCAGCTGGCTGGATTGGAAATGATGCTATTTCTCCTATAATTGGTGATCATGACCCTTACATTAGTGTATATGGGAGGGTAAGTGACATCCTAATTGAGTTTTCTTTGTCTCTCTCTACTGATGATTTTTGCTTGTAGATCTAATGAAATTATGTCATTTTTAGGAGCTGACCCATATACGAGCTGTCACTATACTTATGACCTTTATCATGGTTGTTGCCTTTCTTACATCAATTGCTATTGTTCGACGCATCCTCATGGCAACATCTGTCCTGAAGGCAAGCATCACTTTATGATATGGAATTATTTAACTATGATTGCGTTGGTTGTTTTTATTCATTGAATTTATATCCAATAGCAATAGTATTTAATTTTTGGACCTTATCATGTATGCCTACATTATGAGTATAGTGTTCCTGCTACCAAGGAGCAGTTGGGCTACATGTATAGATCTGTGCGGGGAAAATAAGACTTCAAAGCCAGTGCTCATTTTGTTTATTTTACATCATGCAATGGAAATACTGAACTGATAGCTTTATCCAACTATGGCCATATAGATTTAGCCTATCATTCCTCTTATTTAACAATGAATGAATGCTGCCACTTTTATCCTTCTCTCTGACAACTGTACTTTCAACAAACCATCACTCTTTTTGTGTTGATATATTATACATCTCATCCTCATTGAATCATCTCTAACACTTTCGTGACTTTTACCCCCGTATTATGTGTAATGTTTGTGCATCCTGTTGTCACAATGTTAAAAATAAGTTTTAGGCATTATTGTTGCGCATAGGCTAGAAACTACTAGTAAATCTGAAATTATAATGCTTCATTATTTCTATTTCATAATCAATCAATTTAATTATTTATTGCTTGTTCGCAGGTTGCTGCAAAAGTGATAGGAGAGGTTCAAGCCCTCATTATTTTCCCACTGATACCATATGTTATCCTTGCGGTGTTTTACATGTTCTGGATTTCAGCTGCTCTCCATTTGTTCAGCTCTGGCCAGGTTGTTCAGAATAGTTGCAACTCTAACTGCTGCACATATGATCTTATTGCAAAACGGGTAAACTGTGATCGTTGTTGTGGTTATAGCATTCGTTACACACCACATATTGGAGTTGCCATCCTTTTCCACCTATTTGGGTGTTATTGGGCTACACAATTTTTCATAGCTTGTTCCTCAACGGTGATTGCTGGGTCTGTTGCCTCTTATTATTGGGCCCATGGTGAAACATCTGTAAGTTGCATGCCCTGTCCAAAATGCATAATGCAACTTAGAGAATTCAGTGATTGTTTCATGCAGTTATAGAACAACAATTTTATTATATTGAGTGAATTGTGGTCTCGGACAAGAAGGACCATAGTTTATCATTTGAGTTCAGAAGTGGCTCTTGATCAGCATAAGAAGCGGCATAATAAATTATTCAAGTACGACTCACTTTATCAATTAAAACAATAATACGGTGCATGATTGTGTTTAACTAGTTTCAAATGTCAAGAACTCAAGGCAGATTTACAGCTTTGTAAATAACTAATTCAGACCTAGCTTGCAAATATATTCTTGGTTTACTTATTTGAATGTGATCATCTATTAATTAAGTATTCTGATTTACACATTCAAAATTCTTTTATCCGTGTTGCTAAATATGATTCATATTTCACAATGCAGCCAGAAATTCCTTTTCTTTCTGTCTTTTCCTCCATGAAGCGGCTTATGCGATACAGTCTTGGGTCTGTGGCTCTTGGCTCTCTGATTTTATCATTTGTAGAATCAATTCGCTTTCTGCTTGAAGCTATTCGTCGCAAACTAAAAGGCTCAGGTGATGGGCATGACAGCTGCATAGGCAAGGCTGCATACCAATCTTCTCAATGTTTTCTCAAGTGTATTGAATGGACCATCAAATCAGTAAACCGAAATGCATACATCATGGTAAATTTTGTTGATCTACATAAAGAAGATCTTCATTTCTGCATCATGTCCTAGCATGTGTTTTGTTATTGTGTTTCATTACATTATTTAAGAATAGGGATATAGTAAGGGCAAAAGGAAGTGATAGCCGATTCTCTTTTACTTGTTGCTTTTTGATTGACGTGTTCCTTAGAGGCTGAATTTCATTTCCTTACTTTGATTGTGTTTTTTGTCAGGTAAGGTATACATCATCCATAGAAAGCAAAACATGTACTAGAGATTTTTATTCTAGTAGGTTGCATACTGAAAATGTTAGTATAGTTCTGTGAAAACAGTAAAACATCATGATAAAAGTGGCTTGCAAAAGTAATTTACCATAGACTATCTTATTATCTGCGGCAGCCTCTTACTTCTAGCATTAATATATTTCTAATCGACATCCCTTCCCTTAGACAATGCATCTTGCTTTAGATTTATTCTGATTGTAGTTTCTCGATTATCTTGTTGCCTGCAGATTGCTATAAACATTCTATAGAATTTGTTTAGCTTTTTTTAACTTAGTTTTTAACATAGTATCTTTCTGGCACCTGCAGATTGCTATAACAGGCAAAAGTTTCTTTAGTGCTTCTTGTATCGCGACTGATCTCATCATGAATAACATTCTAAAGATTGGACGCCTTAATGTGATCGGAGATGTCATTTTGTTCCTTGGTAAACTGTGTGTTAGCCTCTCATGTGCTTTGTTTGCGTTCCTCATGTTAGACACTCACAAATACAGATCTGCTCATAACAAGACCTCGTCTCCACTCTTACCTGTTGTGGTATGTTTTCTATGTTCTAGTTTTGTGATTAGATGGCTAGGATCAAGAATACGCAATTCAATATTAAAACAAAAAAAATTCTTCTTTACACTTAATAAGGGTGAATTTTTTCAAATTATTTTAGTTCTATTATTAAACATGATAGCTTTCCGTTCCAATAAAATTTTCTGTTATTATATACAATTTTCATATATATTCAGATTTCAAAATCATTTTGATTACTTCCTGTTTTGCAGCAGCCTATTTACAGAACTTGTATATCTCTCGCCATTATACATGAATCCATCATGCATATGCATCTGCACCACTAATAGCACAATATGATACATATTAGTCTGAGTAGGCTCTTGTTCCAAAGCACAATTTTGTGACAAGCAACCAGTTGTTGCTTTTAATCGATTGTCTGTTTACTGGATCCAGAACCGAAAAAACAAAACACACTAGTCTATAAGTGACTAATTCCTGATTCAACATTTCCATAATGGATAAAAGCATGTGCAGATAAATTTCTCCATTAATATTTCTAAGAATAATTTGTAGAAATTCTTTGATAATTCACTCTGCTTGAATCTTCTCTCTTTTTTTATGCAAAATCTAATCAGCTTAGCAATATATTTTTATTTTATTTTTCTTATTTTGTTTTCCTAGACAAGTTTGTCTAAACTGACTTCAACTGCTATAAAGGGACCAAGAGCTGGGAAATATTTGCCAAAATTAAAGTCTACTAGTCCACCATCAAATGTGAATTTTGAACAATTGTCTTAACCTTATTTTGTGTAATGTAGGTTTGCTGGGCTCTTGGATACATTGTCGCAACCCTTTTCTTTGCAGTTGTGGAGATGTCAATTGATACCATAGTTCTCTCATTCTGCCAGGATTCTGAAGAGCACCAAGGGACAGCCCAGTATGCGCCACCCCTTCTCATTGAGACTCTCACTGATCAGAATGAGATGCAGAGACTCACACAAGGACCCTAATGAAACATCATGTCCATGTGTAATTTTGCTAAATATGTCAACATTTAGATATTCTCATTAAGGTGCATATTTTTGCCACCGTAGTTCTGCTCTTACATCACTTGTATATATGCTTAATTACAATGGTGGACTTAGATGGGATTGGTGAGGTTGCCTTTTGACAAATGGGTTATCACAGGCACAAACTTTCATTGTCCTTTCCCTATATAGTTATAGTATTTTCTCAAAAGTGCATCTTCTTATGAATTAGCAAAGTTTAGAAGTTGTGGCTTATTGGTTCTTTACTTTATACTGCAAAAATCCCAATTTGACTTTGACTTCTTAAACTATAAAATCAATTAGAAATTATTATAATATGATTTTTAAGGTAATTATGATGATGATGGTTTAAAAATATTTTACATTATTAATATCTAGAATGGTCACTAATTTTCTTTTTGTTCAAATATATACACAAGATGTTTAATATAGCAGAAACTTTTCTTCATTCATCATCTGTCTTCACGTGCCTTAACTTAGTACGATACCTAAATACAATCCTAACACTAACGGAAACGTTATTACAACTTTTCATGACTACTATGTTAATTTCCCAAAGAGTCTCGCTCTTACTGAATCAAAGTTTTCAACTTCTAACCAAAGTGAAAAGGCAATGTTTCAATTTGTAGCGGTAACAAATATTAGGAGTAAAGAGGTAGCATTATATTCGTGCAGAGATTTCGATCAAGACCTATGTTGCAAGACTCAAGTAGATTCAAAGATGAAACTTTCACCAGTAACACACATTTTCCTTCTAACCAGACGCTTGAAGCACACTATGTAAGAATGGAGGCATCTCAGTAAAACCAAAATGGCCAACTACCACATTTGTTTCATGAGGTCCCTCAAGCAATTGGATGCATGTGAGTTGTTTCTTTGATACAGGCTGGATACCAAATGTGACACATGCTTTCACCTTTATAAGGAGTTATGTTCTGATTTTCGGCATTCACTCAACAAAATCCACATCAAACGCTTCAACACCATCCTTCATTTCAAGATTTTGCATATCCAGAAAGGAGAATAAGAGGTCTCCAATGTAACAAGGATGCATTGTAGCTAGAATACTTGCAAATGACAGTGTTAGTTTTCCTGGACCGTGTCTCATGTGTTTTGAAGCAATTTAGAAGTCTTTCAATATTTAGTTAGACCTTGAGGACCAGGTAGGTGTTTGTGAATTGGGATGAAATTGTTATGAACCTAACCTAAAAATGTTATGAATTGGGATACCAAAGGAAAGGAAAGGAACTATAATTTGATAGAGTATATCATTACTTAAAAATAAAAATAAAAATAAAAATAAATATTTTATTATGAATTAAGATTTAAAATAAAAAATATAAGATTTTAAAAAATTTTGATAGGTGAAATTCATAATAAAATATATATGTGTATTCTTATATAACTCTTACTAAAAACTCAAAAATTCTAAAATTGTAGCCTCTTATTATACATACTTATTGGTTAATTATTAAAATATATTTCAGGAATTAAAATATTAATTAATTAAATAAATATAAAAATACTTTCCTTATTTGTTTATCAATTTGATAAACATCCCCTTTTTTAATTATCCATTACCAGTATATTTTTATTCTTATTTGTTTATATTTATTAATTAATTTAATTTAATTTAATATAAATTTATAAAAGCACCCTCATTTTTCCTCTAACTTAATTTCTTTTATGGTATAAGATTTTAGCCGAGCGTGTGACTCAACGTTACGCGTTGTGCACAAGACAAAACACACACACACACATACGACAACATTGAGAACAGTACTCAACGCTGTTTCTGCATCTGTTGTACGTTGAACAAAGCTCTCCTATTAAAGGCAAAGGTTCCAAGGTGCAAAAATTTTCCTTTCCTCTTTTCATAGATTGGTGGGGATGGTTTCAAAGTATTCAAAATCAGATGGGTCTTGTAGATCATGTCATGTTAATTGGTTTAACGTATTTGAATTCTGTTATTTATATTTTCTCGAGTAGAAGATCATTGGATGATCAGTCTAAAGGGTTTATGGTTTTTCTTATCCCAGTTGCATGACATTTTTTCTCATATTTTCATTGCTGAAATTTAGAGTTTATTTTGATGGTATAGTTCTTCTCATAATTCCGATTTCGATTACATTTTTAGTTTGTTTAAATTTTATTCGAAAGTGTAGGGAGAAGCTTGCCTTTCTCGCGCTGTATCCAATGTAACCTTTGGAAATAAAATGAATTTAGAGAAAATGAACTTCTAATGTAGTTCTAAATATTTCAGTGTTTATGTACACTGCGTAAGACATGTTTGTTTTAAGGTTCCAATTCTATATCAACCATCACTTGCAAGTGTATATTAGTTAAACAATATATAATTAGGAGGGAGCTGGGATTGGGAACTACTCCTTTAGGGTTGATGAATTTTGAACGAGGAATCAAGGGGGAGGTTGACGATAAACTCGAGTCTCTGTGGACAAACTTTGAAAACGAAAGAGTTTTTGTTCGAGTAGGAATAAGACAAAGTATGTATTGTAATTTTAGTAAGAAACGATAAGAAAGTATTTGAAATCAATATTACGTAAGTACGGGGAAATTAATGAGGGTGCCACACAAAAGGTGCAAGATGGATGGTTAAAGTGGAGAAATGCATTAAGAATTATTTGTGATCGCATAGTATTTGCCAAAGTCAAAGGATGTTTTATTGCAATTTGTTTGCCTATGTTCTGTGATAGTGAATGTTGAAATTTAAACTTGAAAGGGATATCAAGAGAAAATGGTAGTAGGAGTAATAGAAATGAGAATGTAAGATGAATACGCTTATATATATCATCTTTTGTTATGGATCATAAATCTCATGATACGAATTATTCGTGATTCATAAAATAGGCTTTCAGATTCAACTGCCTTCGTATGACATGCACATTTATGAATATAAATATTCTGTTTCCAGGATTTTCATTACCTGTGTCCTTTTTATCACTTGTACATCTTTATATATAATTTTGCATCTTTTTTGGAAGATCTTGTGTGGGTCATGTGACCATTTCTTCGAATCTATGAAGATCAACGGATTACCGTTTTATCTTTCAACTGGAAGTGTTACTTAAATTAAAATACTTGTTAAGTCAATAGATGACCAACATTTAGACACCTTGATGGAAGTTGGTGACACCTACATCCTGTTTGTGATTTATCACTTGTTGGTGTTTGTTCTATGAATTTCCTTGCCAGATTACATCGGTGAATGCATGCATTAGATGTGGAACATGAAAATATTTCTTCATGTCTTTGTAGTCACGAGATGAAATCTCATGTCAATGACTATCCATAACTTTGAAAGCATGATATCTTGATTGCCATATTTATGAAACAAATTACTGTATTGAGTTTCATCCACACACAGCGCAACTCTTTCTTCTTATTCTTCTTATTGCTTGCATCTATTTCTATGGGCTCGTAGCAATGGATGTCGAAGATGCAGAGAATGAAGTTTCAATTTCTTCTGCTATTCTCAATTCGATAACATCTGGGCAGAATGATCTTCTGTCTCCAGAAGACCTTGCTTGGGCTGATTCCTGCCTCGTTAAAGACTCTGATATTTCAGAAACTGATTGGGTCCCGTTGAAAAATGCTTTACTAGAAATTATCAGTTCCCAATCTCAATATTTTAGCACTGAAGGAGAGGACATAGAAATTCCTCCCTACAGTAGTAGTTCTGAAAGGATTACGGTGGAACTTAATCAACAATCTTCAACTTCTGACGGGAAATGCTTATCCCAGTCTTTTTCAACTTATATTGTTAACCCATTACATGTGGCAGTAGAAACAAGCGCAGATGATATTCCAGATGATGAAACAATTGGTACTTTGCCATCTTTCAATCCTTGTCGGCCAACTTATAATGAAAACCTGAAGGTGAACGAAACCATTGATTTTGAACTTAATCTAGATACTTCCTCTTATGAGACGGAGCACCTCGCTGAGAATATCTTCAAAATTTGGGATTTTGATATTCCATCTGAGGAAGGTGATCTGGTTAAACAGTTGGAGAAAGCCCTATCAGAGAATTCCTTTCAAACAGTGCCATCATCTTTCGATGATTCAGTGAAGTGGAAGGACACGAAGGACAACTCATTCGACGATCTTGTTGCTGGAATTGCTGACTTGTCATTGAAGAAAAATGCCTAGTTCTCATTGAGTTTTACTTAGGTTTATGATTGTTCTGTGGTTTATGTTTACTTTCACGAATTAGTATTGGTATTAAAAGTTCAAACCCTGTTTTGCTGCTATGCTGATTTTTTTTTTCTTATATGGAACAATGACGAGGCCCTGCATTATCTTTGCAAGATAGGACTCTCTTCTGTTCTACAAACTCCACTGTGATCAAGACAGTTGTGTGAATAGGGATTTATATACAAAGGAAAAATCAGGACATGCATGGATTTAGTGCTTATTATATGACCTTGTTTCTTACAGTGATGAAATCTGAACTGAATTGGATAACTAGTAGCATGTTTGTTTTTCATTTAAAACAACATTGAATGTCAATCCTGTAATTTTTATTTTCAAGTTTTAAGTTGTCGAAAGAGTGAAAATTCAAATAGATAGGTAGGAATTTGTGTAGGGTACTCCTCTGTAATTTGTCGCACACATTGAGTACAATGCAATAATGTTTTACTAAGTGTAAACTTCTAATTAAAAGCAATATGGACAATTTCTATTACCTATACTTCAAAATCAATCTAACTTCAATACAAACGGTTCTAAAGAATAAGAACAACAATGTCATGTTGGGAACATAACTCGTCCTCTCCATCTGGCCATAGATGTTGATAAAATAATACATCTAAAAATAATATTTTAAATTATATTAGTAGTTGTAGATATATGAAAAATTGTTTTAAAATTGTAACCGTTTTTTAAACTTCAATTATGTATAATTTTTTTCTCGTAAAATTTTAAGAGAAATAATTTGTATACTTGAAAATGATACATTTAAAACTATATTTTCTATTAAGAGTTAATTAAAAATGAGTATAATATATAATTATAATTATAAAAATTGAGTATAGTATATAATTACAATAGTATAATTAATATATTTGTAGATTTATTATAAATAGTATAGTATATAATACGCATATATTATTAAAGGTACATTTAAGACGGTATTTTAAAAAATAATATTTTTTTTAGATTGAAAACATTTTTTTAATGATATTATATTTATTAAATTTTTATAATATTATGTATATAAACAAATTAATAAAACAATAATTTAAAAGAGTTGCATATATTAAGTTTTTTAAAATCAGAATATATATATATATATATATATATTTAAAATTAATATAATATTAAGAGTTAATTTAAAACTTGTATAAATTTAGTTTTAGAAATATTTCAATTTGTGTATTAGGATTAGTGTAAGCAAATTAGTTATATTTTATGTGTTTTAATAAAGTAATAATATAAAATAGTTGTAAAAAAATATAATTAAATAAGTTAACTAACATTTAATTAGTATATTATATTAATAAAATTATAAAATTGATTGGAAACATCGTTCCATTTGTTTATTAGTTTAAAAGATACAAGTTACTTAAGAGTAATGTTGTAGCACTTAATTCCATGAATAGTTGTGAAATTACTTAGTTATTGTATGTGCTTGTGTGCTTCTGGTTTCAGTCACTCTTGAGCCTCCTTAATCCCTAGTGTTCGTTCTTCCCCTGATCTTCTTCCGCGTCTGAAACTAAGGTCTCCAGCATCTTGTTTTGCAGTAAGTTTTTTCATTTCTCTTTTTTTCTTGGTTTGATTTTGTTAGTACGTATGTCTTTACATTTTTTTTTCATTCTTCCACATTTAATGTAGTTAGTTGTGTTCTGCCTCTATTAATCATGGTGTTCTTGCGTTCGTTACGGCACCGCTTATTAAAATTTTTTGGTCTACCGAAAATCAGAAATTTGTAGAATTTTGTTCTGCCTTTCTCATTTTAATACATTATGGACTTTTAAAATAAGAAGGGCGTTCCTCCTTTCTGTTTTGGAAGACATGATGAAATTTGAAATGAAATAAAAGTGAATATGATGAACAGTGCTTTAGTGGAGGTGTGTTGGTGCGGCTTTATGTGGGGAGGAAGAAGATAGTGCAGATAATGGAGGCCGGGGTCATGGGTATGGGAGACAAGGAAGAAGAAGTAGGGTTTAGGGGTAAAGAAGCCGCAAATTTTCATGCTCTCCAGAAAGGGAAAAACTGACTTTCTTTTTGAACTTTATTTGCTTTCCTATGGTACTGTTTATATGCCGATATACTATTTACACCCTTACAGCATTATCTATCCTCGCATTTTATTTGATTAAATTTCGGAGAAAATAAAATCTGAATTGATTGGTTTAGATTGGTTCCGAATAGAGAGATCTAGAAGATAGCGGGGAAGTTCTGAAGAAGGATCTCATTGTAAATACATCTGGGCATTTGGTATTTAGACATATTCCAATGACAAGGTGTGATTCATGTAGTTTGACCTAGCATGATGGGATAAGAATCTGGCAGATAGCAAGAAAGTACAAGCTCTAACTAAAGAAGAGAGTCAATGTTCTAAAATCGGGCATATTTCCATTTTTATTCTTCTAAAAGATAGAAGTAAAGAAAAAAAAGCAATTCAACTTAGGGTATTCCAAATTCTCATGAAGTTTTTAACACGACTACATGTCTGTCATGGATACGGTGTCTAATTAGACAGCAAGACATTAGAAATGGGTCAAAGAAGGTGCAATGTTCAGGGATGGATTTGCAGGAGCCTCAGCAATTGATAGAGTTCAGGTATGCATGGAAGCTTAAAATATATAAAAGCTTAAAAAGAGTGAAAATTTTAACAAAATAAAGAAATTTCATCATTTACAATTGGTCACGGAATTAATATTCATGTAAAGGCTTGACCTAATGATTCCATAAGAAGATAGAAATAAGTAGAATGAAGTCAATATAATAGTGGTACGAATTAAAGAAAGCAAGAACCGGAAAATGTAGAAACTAGGCATGAAGACAAAAGCATAAAAGAAGAACACGAACACAAGTGAAAGTAGATGGAAAAGAGGAAAGATGAGAGGACTCAAAAGATGGAAGTAATACACCACTTGAAGTTGCGCTCCAAGATAAGTGACATGGTGATTTGTCACTTGACTTCTAAGAAATCAAGAGATTCTAAGAACTAGAGATCACTTTCACAAGTATTTCTCACAAACTGTTCTAAATCTCATATTTTCCAAAATTGATTCTACAATGAGATTTGATGCCTATTTGCAGCCCAAGGTGGTTCAAAAATTTAGAAGTAAATGGGAGGGAAATGTAAATTCTGTTTCTAGAGTCTTTCTAAGAGAGTGTGGCCGAGAGGGATGTGTGCGACTTGTTTGGCTCATACTTTCCTTGCTCCTCCCAAGGCATGCCTTCCTTGCTTGATTTTATCACATGCTTTCCTTGGCACTTTGGAGCACTTGGCCGAGACTTCTATCTACAAAATTGCGCTTGGTTGGCCAAGACTTGAGGCTTCTAATGTGGTCTAAAATCTAATCTAATCTACAAGTACAAAAATCAGTCCAAATTACCAATAAAGGAAAGAAATTAAAACACAAATTCCTTATTCCAACAAATACAAAATTGCGAATTATCTCCGTGAACAAAAGTATTTTGTCTTCATATACTTCTAGTTGGTCTTCTAGAAATTGTATATTCTTGATTAGTTTCTTGGTCTACACTCATGCACTCATCATCACCCAACCTAATTAAAGTCACTGAATGCTTTTTTAGGTGGAGCTGGTATCATATTTGGTGAGAAAGAAAATTCTATAATGTTTTTTATTTTCTAATCTGAAAAAATAGAAATAAAATATGACTGAAATATTCTTAATCACTAAATTGTTTGCTTGTGTTGAATGGGACGATAATGTTCGACTTAAGTTGGCCGTATTCTTGTAGATACTGATAGTACTGTTCTTTAAAAAGTGTTTTGATTCGTGTTGGACTTTTAGGAGATGGAACAAATACTTATTTGATAGTTCAACAAATTATGCTTGTTTCTTTTTGGCTAAGCTTGCATACTTCATTTCAGAGCAAACTTTCTGGGCTATATACTACATACCATGGGAACCAGAGGAGTAATCGGGGACAAGTGGTCCATGAGAGTTCTTTGGGCTTGTGCTATTGGAAGTGCTGTCAGTAAGTATTTTTACCTTTTTCCAATGTTAGTCTTGTAATATATCTCCAAGTCTATCTCTTTCTCATAAAAACTTTTGTTCAATCACAATCTTGTTTTTATATCTATAATTGTCTAGGCCTGTATATGGTTGCTGTAGAAAGACAAGCACAGAACAGGCAGAGGATACTGGCTGAAGAACTAAGGGCAATGGAGTCAGGGGAAAGCAATGACAACGACGGCTGAAGTATGTTACACTATATTTTATGAAAAATATGTAGTATCATATGAAGTTTCAGATTTTCTGAAAGGTGTTTCTCCTTGTGATGTAAAAGTTTTATGCATCCTTTACCCATTTGCTAACAGTATAAAATAATCATGTAGATTTTCATTTCAAATGCATTACGGAAAGGATTAAAATAAGCTTTGTGGGCACATTTTTAACATTTTAGCAAATTAACATGTCAATGTGCTTTCATGATTTTGTTTTTGCCTACTGAAAATAGTTTCTCTTCCTGTTGCCAGCATGTTGAAAAGCGTGTCCCACCATACAACTGGGATCTTGTATGAATTGCAGTTTGCAGGTTGTACATCTTTTGGGTTAACTTATTACTTGCTAGGTCTAACTTTCGGAAGTTTTTTGAGAGAACATCTGAAAAGCATTTCTTTTTTAAATTTATTTTGCTTGAAACAAGATATTCGTCAAGGTAAAAACACTAAAAACAACAAAAGTATTATTCACAAACATATAAGGAACGAAACACTGGTTTTATGTTTTTTCAAGTGTAGGGTGATTATGAATATTTGGAAGCAAATATTGTTAGGCTACCTCAATGAAATCTGGTATTTATCAGAAATTTGTTTAATGGCACTATATTGGAGTAAAAAGGAAAATGCACTAATCACGGTTTCAGTTTGTGGTTTCGATGTAGTCTTTGAATATTGAAGTATATTCACGTCTATGGAAGACAAATTAGTTATTTTGTTAGTAATTATGTTATATTTACCTACTTAGAATAAGTATTATGCTCATACCTTTTTCTTTCTCTTTGTCATCTAACTTGAAAACATTAGAAAATAAAATAAGTGAAATACCATTTAGTTCTTGAAAAACATTGACGGTTGCACTTATGTGCTTGATATTAAATACTGTCCAATGTTGAATGTTGGGTTTTTGTTCACGATGGATAAGTATTGTTTGTTAACAAATAATACATCGCATATTTATTATCGCGTTTTTAATGGTTACATCGCCATATGGTAGGTAAATTCAGAGGTTAATGCGGATTACGACTATCACAGACTTACCACTATTATCAGACTATGCACATCCGCAGACTACACACATTCATCACTTCGTTCCGTTAACTCTATTAAACGCTTGTCTATCACGAAAAGTATTTTCCTTATAACTTCTAAAATCATACAAAATTCAGCCTCATCATGTACCATTCAGCTTGTTTTATTTTCTTTGCGTCAATTTCTTTTGCACATTATCCTTCTCTTGGCAAAGCAGCAGATCTTTGAAATGTTTCTGATATAAATCTGAGTGCTGCTGGTGAAGAAACAGAAGTGGAGGATCGAAGGACAGGGGTAACAGGCGTACTTGAATTTTATTTTGCTAATGATTCTGCTCTTATTGAGTATAATTCAAAGTCATCATTGATTGTACCATGCCTTCTCTTTCTCCTTGCTTCCTTTCCCCAGTTATAAATTGTCTCCCTTACAGTCTCTGGAATTAATGCAGGCTTATAGTTGGTTCCCATCTGAAACAAAAATAGGAAAGTTTTACTGTCTATCATGAAGCTACACTATGCAGATTCCGAAGAAGAAAGTCATTAACTCTTGTGCAGTAACAAGTATATTATTATTTAGCATGAAAACAGTATAATGTAGTTTGTCATTAAAAGAAGTGTTGAAATTATGGCAGAAAAATGAAGGGAAGAAGGGAAACAGAACTGAAAATAAGAAATCAAGTATTTTATTGATCAACAGAATTTACATTTATGATGATTGAAGAGCAAAACAAATTGACAAATTAAGATATATAATTATCTGAGATACTTGTTCCTCAAATAAAAGGGTCAAACTATTATAAATTTATTTAGACTGAAACAGAAATATAAAGTCATATGCAATACATAGAGCAAATATCTAACAAGAAGCATGATCAATCAGAGAAAATTAACACTTCAACTAAGAATATAGGATTTTCTTCACAAAGTGGTCCGGAGGGGGATATTCATTTGTGCATGATATTACCTGTGCAACAAGTGCATATAGTGGGAGAGTACTATAGCTGCAGAGAAACTGTCCAGCGAACCTATCATGTTGAAAACAAAGAATAGTTAAAAGAAATTGATTTAGTATCCTAACTAGTTAAGGCTGTTAGGATTTCAGCATACCCCAAGATTAGCCTTAAGTGCACGAGAAAATGACTCCTAATAAAGCAAGAATTGTACCCAAATTGCGACTGCAGATGGCAAAGTCATTTTAGTTAGATGCGGAAGGAACATAAAGAGGTAAATATTCATCATTCTTCTTGGGGTTTATTATCTTGTTCTATGGAGTGATTTATCTTATCTAAGGAAACCTAATAAAAGTAGCCATCATTGATAAAAAAAAAACTTAAAACTTGTTTTATGAAGATAATGATAACGTATCAAAACAAATATATGTAGTTGTACCTTAGGTTATTATTCTCAAATATGGTTTCTTGCTGTACATTTTTTATCGGTTTCTTTTTTAAACGCTTTCTTTTTATACAATTTATGATTCAATCAGAACTTACAAATTGATATCTTGGTTACTACAAAGTATTATTCTGTCTTAAGATGGAGAAGGAAGTACCAAGAACCAAATAAATGAAGCCAATTCAAATGCATTCTGCAGAGAGAAGAAAACCAATGAGCACGCGTCAGAAGTTAGTAAGAACTATATGTAAGTACAGATAGCACATGATGTAGCAAGCAGTTGCTAACCTGGAAGAGAATGAAATGGATCAAGGGAAACAATAGTTCAGGCTTATTAAACCAGAAAAGTTCATCACGAGGTGTCAACTTCGCTTCAGAGAAGAAGTTAGTTATTTCAGCATTCTCCAATGCCAATGTTGCAATAACATGCTGCAGTTTTGTTCCAACTAAAAGAACAAGCTACACAAGAACAGATAATGGAAATAAAATGATAGTTGAATAAAATATACTCCAAGAAATTCAAGACAAGACAACATTGTAGATAACCATCTTCTGTGATTATCCCTACTACAGAATAGTCATTTACTGTAATACATATTAAATTTTTACGCTACTGATTTATCTAGTCATGCTCACATGAGTGTTAGAAAGTTGTGGAAAAGGAAAGTGAAACAGATATATAAAAATGCAAAAGAAGGATAATTAAAACAAAGGTAGGAAATGACAAAGCTAACTTACAAAATTAGGAATGATAGCCATCCAGAAATATAGATGTGATCCTATCATACCAAAGAATTGTAAGCTTGGATAGTGTGCAGAAAGATTTAGGTAATGTAACAGAAAAATAGGACTGCAAGTAGAAGAAAAAAGGGAGAGCATACCGTTAATGTTGAATAGCAGGAAAGCAACAACAAATCCCCAGAGTGGGACACTACAAGAGTTACAAGCAGACACTTTCAGCTTTCGATTTGTGCTTGATAATTATTATTATTTTTAAATAAAAATAACAATATAAAATATAATGTGCTACATTTCTCAGGCCTAAATTACGACAACATTAATTTTGTCTTCCACATAATGATTTATTCTAACTGCCACTTAAACTACTTCAGGTGTATGAAATGGTGACTTTTGTTCAGCAATTTTCAGGATACTGGTCATCTCAGAAATTAAGATTGTTCTTAATACATAAAAGCGCACAAGACATATTATTGTACTGGATGAACAAAAAATTAACTGCTAAAGTTGCTAGCATGGAGCTGCGATAATTGTAATCTGTAAAAGCTAAATCTTAACTTTACTAACCTCACACCAACTACCTTTTGGAATTCCTCTTCAATACATTGAACCATGTAGCTGTGAAAATCATATCTTAATGTGAGGTGGTGATTCTGTCATGAATAAGGAAAATGGACTGAGTAAACAAACATTCACAAAGTCGTGTGACACATGCACACTGCATAGTGTATACTATACTAGCATACCAGCAATAAACCTAGCATACGAGAACCATGGTGGATTCTTCTTTCAAAATAAAGTAGAAACATAAAATCAGAAAGAAGGAAATTCATGAAGCATCTGACTTTTAAATAAGCACATTTCAGTTTCTCCTATAAGCACTTTGCAGTTGTGTTGTGACTTTGTAGGCCACAGTTTATCTCCAAATATTTTATGGTTTGGAAAGCTTTTAGATAACAAATGAGCTACATAATCTTGACTAAATAGTCACCTGAATGTACAAAATTAGGTAAATATTATATTAGGTTGCTTTTGAATAAGAAACACTTAAAATTCAGACAAATTCTATCAGATACCGTGACGAAGCCTTTGCGAAGTATTAGATAGTCGGTGCGATTCACAGAATTCCAAAATTGTCGTACAAAACATGTCTGCAATTCAATTTAACTTAAAATTAGATAGCTTTAGAATTGAATTATAAAGGAATATGCGGTTCTGAATAGGACCTGAATACAGAATAAAGTAGGAAAAAGTATAAGTAAACCAAAAAATTATTTATATAGAGAAAGTTTGGCTTCAAGAAGTAGGGAGAGCTTCATGCCATTGTTAGCCCCAGTGAATTATTTTAGTAACTGATTACCAAAAAATTTAATTATTATCTATTCTAGCAAAGTAAAAATAATCACTAACTTTTTATCATGTTTTACTGATCATACTTGCATGCAGGATTCATTTTCTAATGCTTTAACCAATTTCATAAAAGATTGCAATGAACTCCTTCAAAATTTGTTTAGAGAAGAAGAAAATTTGATCAAAATGTTCAGCCATTGTTTAGAAGACAAATATTTAAAACTCTCTTATGCCTTGTTTGATTTCGAAAATTCTCATATCTGAAAACACTAATGACAGTTAACTAAATGTAAAAAAGAAGAAATATAATGGAGGTTTAGTTATACCACCCAAATGAGGACAGTGTTTCTAACCAATGGATTTGATCTATGTAACATAACTAAGGTTGATTGATTTTGAATTGGCAAGTTTCTTCGGACTCCTGTTGAAACACAAGAATGGTCAATCCATTTCAGAAGATGAATAATAAACTACATGGCCAACACGTTTATCATAAAACATTGAACAATTCACTTTTGGAAGGTATAATTTTTGTTTAAAGAATAATGATATTTTCACAACCAGCTTTTCATATACAACCACCGGAGAACTTTCAAATGATTGTATATAGAAAATGAGTTGTAAAATTATGATTACGTTTGTAGAAGCCAAAGATTATATTGAAAAAGGTATTGGTAGAAGCACAATATGTATCAAACCATTAAAAGGTCCAGAACACATCTATGTCAAGATGTTTTTGCTCCTGCACTACAACTTATAGCTCCCTTATGTGCTATAAAACTACCAAAGAAAGCTCTACAATGTGTACAGTGATAAGCAATAAGGAACAATAATTTCCCTAAAATCTCGAATCTGCAAATTCCTATGGAAGGTCTAAATGTACAAAGTTCAAGATGATCGTTTAGTACATTTGATCTAACTTAAGTGGTTATTAAGAGTTTTTTTTGTTAAACAGGAAATTTGTCATAAAATTAGGAATAGTAGTAGTTAATACTATTTCCTTACAATTTTTCTCATTCTAGATCAACACTTCTTGATGGTAATGTGTGTAAATCCTATCCGTTTAAGGAAGAAATCTAACAATTATTAACAGAATAAAAAAGATGTACACAACAAGGCATTATTATATAGGTACCAACATAATTTCTTGGCACGTTCAGTAAAGTGAATCAGAAGAGAGGGATTAGAACAAAACATGGATATTGATATGAATTTTAAATGAATATTACATATGGATTATGTATTAGAAGCAAAAACTTGAAACTGAAAAATTTTATAGTATATCATAAAAGAAGAAACTTGAAACTACCTTATGAAGGCCAAAATAGATTACAGATACATGATCACTTGCCTATAAAGGAAAAATGTCAAATTTTGAGCCTACCATGGAATTCGCTCTGTGGACCCATTTGAGCGTCATCCTCCCACACTCTCCAACTGTGAATCTGGTTAAAATCATTACAGTTTTATATCAACCAAAAATTTAGAGTAATACCAAATTGATGTGATTGTTTTATATTTGTCTGATTGTGTTTGGAGTGTATAAGACCAAATTAATTTGAAATATTCAGCACTGCATTTACTGACACTTAGAAATCAAATATATCCACAAAACATATCAAATATGTCAAGCAGTGACTGACTATAAATGACACTGAAATTCAATACGGTGTCTCTTATCTATTCATAACGCGCAAATTAAAAGCATTGAATAAGACTCACATCATGTCAAATTTTTTTTTCCTGAAATATTTTCGTTTATTATACTACAACTGTTTGATTACAGATTGTTACTTCACCCTTTTTCCGAACCAGTGCTGTGATAAGGACTTTGGTAGATGGGGTGTCTAAAACCGTTGAGTTGTACGAAATGTCAGTGGAGTATTAACTAGCTCAAATAAGGATGAATTCTCAAGTGCTTGGTGCTTGGTGCTTGGTGCTTGTCAACTGTTGGTTGTCAATGTCTCGACTACTTACAAAGAAGTGTACCCATTGGAGAGCTCTGATTAAAGAGGACTCAGACTTTGGCTCTCAGAAGTTGTGGGGTGTCTAAGCTCCATGTTATGTAGTATAAGATGCTTAGTGCAGTATTTAAGTAATTAGTTCTCCCCTTAACTAGCTTTTAGGGTGAATTCTCCAACTTGGATTCCTATTAATTGGTATTAAAGCTTGCTACACTTAAGGACCCTTAATACCAAAGTCCCTATCAATTCGTGTAAGATAAGAAAGGAATAACGCAATCCTCCCCTGATAGCACAAAGAAATTACAGGTTGGATCAATTCCCGCATTTAAAATGAAATACTTAAAGCAACCTACATGTAGACTGTGTAAGCGAAGAAAAGAACATGAACATGAATATTCAACATTCAATATATGATATAAGTGCAACACATTATGCTATGTTAATTTTTGTATATTGGTGAATGTGTGACAACCTCTTAGGAAATAAGGAGATTGAGAATTTTATTAGGATAGTTAAAATATTAATGGCTTAGTTAGTTGGTTAGAGGGGCTATTTAGATATAAATAGGGGAAGAATGATAGGAGAGATGCAGATTTTTTGTTCTTGTAAACTGAGCATTGTCTCTTTGAGAAAGGAAAGAAAGGTGAAATCCTTTGTGAAGAGAAATCCTTGAAGGAGAGAGTGTTCTTCTATTTCAAATTTTGGTTCTAACAATGGTCCAACATGACGAATCCCCATTTATCATGAAGAATCGGGTGAGAGAATTTGAGAAAGCTGCCACTAAGATGTTAGAACATTAATGGGTTAGCTAGTTGGTTAGACGGATTAATTAGATAGATATAAATGAGGGAAGAAGGTAGCAGAGATGCAGATTTTCTGTATTGTAAATTGAGAAAGGAGAAACTCTTTGTGAAGAGAAAGTTCTTGAGGAGAGAATGCTCTCCTATTTCTTATTCTTTTTATCTTATTTAATAAAAATATTTCTTTTCAACTTTTGGTTCCTAGCACTACCAGGCCAACTCTAATAGGAAATATCTCACCTTCACAAATGCTAACAACATTGTGAGACAACTGTATGATATGTGAGTTACAGCCATTAGAAAAATGAAACGGTGCAATTGCTCCAGACCTTCATATGAAATAAAAGGTTCATAACCCTGAGCAGCAGAACAAATCCCAAGTTATCTTATATTTATTCATTTCAATAAAAGCAAATGATAGTCAAATTGACAACATTTAAGGTATTGGTCATACCTCATTACAGGAACTTTTATTTTCATCCTCCAATATCCTCCTAATTAAGTGAGGGTAAGTGGAAATCATCAACAATTTATGCTCTTTCGAGACATTCTTTTCCATTTCTTCTTCATCAATTGCAGATCCGGTACATAGAGCAAAAGAACTATTGTAGAACTTCAATGGAACACAAATATTTGCTATCATGTGTGAGGTAGCTGTTAATAGAAGTGATACAAATCCCAGCAGCATCATCTCTGAAGATAGAAATGCAAACTTATGAGAGTTGATTAATAGAAAAGAGAAATGTTTAATGAAACTAGATCATTGGAGAAAAGTCAATATTCACCAATTGATCAAACTTAACTATTGCATAATACCTTCTTCCATTTTATTCAAAGCTTCAAGCAAGGACTTCCGATTAGTTTTCTTCAACCACTATAACAACAGGAAATCGTGTACTTAAGTACTGTGGTCAAGTTTAATTAAGAAATCTAACATGTGTGATTAAACTTTATAGAGCATGATACTTCTGATCTTAGCTTAGTATGGACAAAATGTAAGGGGAACATGGCACTTTGGTCACCAAAAAAGGGATGGCGATAAGGAGGCACTTTATTCATAAATACATCCATTTTCACTTCTGTTAATGATTTATTCATCGTTACATGTTTTATGTATGTTACATGCTTACATTCAAAAAAATGAACAAAGCAGAACGAAACTTAAAGTAAAAGGAAGAAATTCATTTTTTGTAGACTCAAGATAGAGAGCTTCAATGTAGTCCATTGAATGCACATTCAGATAAATTTGCGTATCTCAGAGATGAAGTAACCTGTAAATGAAGTTTCTTGCAACATTTAGATAGTTGTTAGCAAATTTTCATCCCCTCTATTCTACCCTTCCGCCACTTAATTTCAGTAACAAGTCTGATAGCATGTGTTAGAAAAACTTAGGTTTGCTAAATGCCAAATGATAAAGCAGGCTCATACAATTCTTGCCACAACATAGACAAACATACAACTTATTCTAGTAATACTTACATTGCTTAAACGATGAATGGTGCGCTCCACAAGCAAAGAAATGGCAACGAACATTGTCAATACAGTAGCAATAGAAAATGTTGGCGTGAAAGCCAATTGTCGTGATTCTTGTTCACTCTCCTCCATTGTGAAATGACCTAATCACAAACCAAATCTTAAATATGACTAGGCTTCGAATACACCAGGACCATGTTCAATGAACTTAAAATATGCGGTTTCAGTTGATGAAAAACTGCAAATTGCAGAAACAAAAGTCACACTACAGGGCATAATCACATTTAACTCTGATGATACAGAACTATTTGAATACGAGTCGTGAGTTTGATATGTTTCATAAAAAAAATATCAGCATTGAGTAGTCCTTCTTGATTCCAATTCACACTTGGATACAACAAATTATTTTGGCAATAGGACCTAAAAGGAAGCTTCAAGCATTTTCAATCTGTTCAAATAATCTAACAGAATTCATACCCAGATCTGAGCATAAGAAACATACCAATAAACACTTGCCTATGTTTTAAATTGTGGTCATTGATCACAGATTCATCTCAATCCTTCATATTGGAGAAAATTTTGGACAAATGCGATCATAATCGCAGTTGTGTTGTGGTCGCAGATACTCCAAACATCTTGACGTTGCAATTAAAATTGCCGTCATAAACTGTTTTCTAAAACCTTGATATCAGCACAAAGAACTTACTAAACTTAAAGCCCCTAAATAAACCTAGTAGTTAAGTTTCTCACAATCTTTCAAACAAGCAACTACCAAAGATGATGGAAAGGAAATTTTTGGTCATGTTTTCTTCTCTTACTTTTTTCCAAAGAAACTTTATATCCAACCCATTTTCACATCATAACATCACATTTTTCCAGTTTCCAAACGCACGTTCCAACTCTGAAAAGAGACTCATTTCCAATATTTATTGCATCAACAATGCCAAGCAAATTTATACTCCTATGTAAAATCCAAAGGAAAGTTCTAATGTTTTTTTTTTCCCAATATCCACCATAGCACTGTAACAACCACCTTGAACAATATTATGAATCTAGGAATATCAGTGGAAATTGTTTCCATCTGTTACAATTTCACACGTGAATCAGAAGAAACAATTAAGAAATTGTAAGTTATTATACATTAAAATCAGGTAATAGAAAATTGGGTAACATCCAATCCAATCCAAATAAATTAGATTAGGGTTTCTCTGTGATTTGCTCATATTCAACTAACCTGATTTGACCCAATTTTATAAAGATTGGGTGATGGGTTCTGTACATTGAATCCGAAACTTAACTCAACACTATTAAAATTATTAACTAATAATAATATTTAATATATTTAATTAACTAAATATAGATAAATATTAATATGAACCACGTGGGATACTGACATGTTATCTCTGTGAAATGAATAAAGTAAAGAGGATAAGAATAACTCAGAACTCGTGAATCTTGTCCATCACAAATTTGTCCTCACACCCACAAATTGATAATTCAGCAACCTCGACTACCTCATCCCTTTGTCCCTTTTCCAATTTAGTTAGCTAATGATACGATCATACACAACACTACACTTTTACATTTGCTTTGCACCTTGTGAGGCCTAAAATGTTACCCATTTTTCATAATGATATTTGCTCATCCATCACCTCAACAAAGAAGGTAATTTTCATCAACATTACTGAATGATTGTCACATCACATTTTTAAATTTTAAAGATAGAGTCAGAAAAATTCTTAGTGTTATTACACAAATCTGAATACTTAAAAGGGAATAATTATCTAACATCTATACTATTACTTCATCATATTCATAGATAAAAGACATGACATTTGGTGACTCTGGTCCTTGCCCTGCAGATCATGTTTCTGAAGAATCTTGAGGGGAGCTTTGGCTTTGCTATCAGAGTCTTTACAGAACTAGTAATCCGACGACCCTTTTGAGACTTTCCAAGTGCTCCCTTTCCACCAGTTACCACTGGGACTACCGTTCATTAATCTAACTGTTAAAGGGTCTTTTTCTTTTTCTGTAACTTATCGATATCATTTTATTCTCTCTTTTAAAGGAAAATGAATAAGTATCTTTCATCTTCCTTCTGATCTTTTATATATACTTAGAATCTCATTTCAAGAGTTATGTAAGCTAGCCGGTTCTTTTTCTCAACATTTTCAAGCTTCGTTATGGTTATTCTCAATTCTTCATGCTTAATTTCCTCTTCTTGTTGTTTGGTTTAGGCAATCAGTAGATTAAATTGCGTTTATTTTCATAAAAACTTCAATTTGAAAAGACATGAAATTCACTTCTACAGAAATTAAAATTAACTTATATACAATTTAAATTTGTAGAAATTTTCTGATATAACTTCCGTAATTTTTTATTTTCAACTTATATATAAGTTAATTTTAACTTATTTTCAATTTTGGAGAAGCTCAGCAGGAGAGCAGTGTTTTGTTCTCATTTTCTGACTTACAATTGTACCTTATAGACAGCTAGCTGGTGTTTGAGCTAGAGGAGTCTAAGCCGTGAGAGTAAGTCCAACATCACACTACCAAATTCAAATCGGGTTTATAAGTGTGGGATTATTGACCCCTAATTTATTTAAAAAAAAAAAAAAAGTTATGAGATAAGGTGTAAGAACTTCTCTCTGCACTATAATGTGTGCAGTTTCTGTGTTGAACTTGTTATGAGGTAGTTTTCTAAATCATGGTTAAATTATTAATATATTTAGCCAATTCACTTTGGAGTTCTGATAAGTGTCTATTAAGTATTAACATAATAAATATGTATAAAGAAATGAAGAGGAGGTAAAAAAATTCCAAATGCTGACTCAAGATGAGCAGCGTCCATGGTTATTTCTCTATAATTTCATGTGCACTTGGAATCATTTGAAGTTTCGTCCACAGTAGTCATCAGGATAAGAGGAGTTAGCAGCTAGAAAAAGCATCTAAGAAACGCATCAGAAAAGGTTCTATAAACTCTTCTTAGATTTTATTGAACTCAATGACAAATGTCCCTGAATCAAGAAGGATATTGGAAGCTCTCACAGTGCCACTTAAGCCAAACCAACAAGTTTCTCACTGATATCCCAAACCTTGCGAGCCTTATCTGCATCACTGGCCTCTTGTGATAATTGGTTTTCAAATGAAGCAGAGGCCTTGTTCCAGCTCCAGTAAACACCTGATTTTGTTAGGCTTGGATCACTCACAACCTATACAAGAATAAAACAGTTCAAACATGAGACACGAGGATTCTTCAAAAGCTCATTCCAACACACAGAAGTATATAACCATCTCCATCTTGTCTTATTAGTCATTGCTATTACCTGTGCAAGTCTCTTTCCTGATTCATCTTCTGAGACAAAGCCCTTGGTTATGTACTTCTGGAATGGAGGGAAGAGAAGTCTGAACAAGGGAATGTGTTCTCTGAACAGGCCTGTTGTGGCAATGCAACCTGGGTAAAGGGAAGCAAATGTTATTCCAGTTTCTTCATGGTATCTTCTGTGGAATTCTTGCATGGTAAGCATGTTGCAGACTTTGCTGTCCTTGTACGCCTTTGCGCCATCAAAGGATCCTCCATCTATCATGGCTGAAGTGTTTAGCCCATTCAAGCCTCCAGCTAGTCCCCTCAAGTCACCAAGGTTAGCCTTGGGTGGCACATTTCCAGCCAATGTGTTGGTGTTTCCTGTTTGATTCACCAATTGTCAGCACCAATATCAATCTCAAAAACCTTCAACAAAACTAATGCTTTAACAACAAAGGAAATTACGAACAATACAGTCCTAAGACATTCATTATCATTGGTGAAAATCATGTGGATCCTACTCATGCCCCAGATTGTGAATCCCATGTGAATTTATCTAATCGAAAAAATGTGTCGAGAAGTATGTTATTATATTTTTCTCAAGAGGAATGTCAACAGTATCTCCATAACACACTCCTAAGTCTTCCCTATTCAGTGAAATTCGCATGAATATCATTCTCGTTGCCTGTTTACTAGAACTCATTAATTTCGTCCAATAATAGTGCATTAAAAACGAATGAAGAGTGTGCTGCAAGCATTTCTGTTAATAAACATCCGAATGAATTATACCTGTGATTGAGCCAACAATGATCAACCTCTTAGAAGGGTAATCAGATTTGTTAAAGTCCTCAAGCAATAGGCGCGAAAGCAGGAAATGCCCCAGATGGTTTGTTCCAACACTGAGTTCAAAGCCATCAGCAGTATATGTAGGCTCACTAGCAGTTGGCAAGTAAACTGCAGCATTGCAAACAAGCACATCTATTGGCCTGCCTGATTGCCTGAAGTTGTCCACAAATTGCCTGACACTATCAAGAGAGGCAAGGTCCAAATGCATAACAGTGTAGTTTTCCTTAGCAATGCCAGCAGCTTTTGCAGCCCTTTCAGCTTTCAGGAAATCCCTGCAGGCCATTATCACATGCCACTTTCCTGTCTCAGCCAAAGCCTTAGCAGTGGCCAAGCCTAATCCAGAGGAAGCCCCAGTGATAATAACACTGCCTTTCCTCAATGTTTTTTTGCCTTCTGGTGAAGCCTTTGTGACTCCTGGAGTGGTTGTTGCCACTAATTGGACTCTCACAGGGCCAACTTTTTGTGGGAATTCCCTCTGATAAAGAGTAAAATTTAAATTATATTATTCTTGTTTTTTTTACCAAGTACCACCATTTTGCATGAGAAACCATCACATCATGCATAGTCCAACAAAACTAAAACAGAAAAGAAAAAACTTACGTAAAATGTAATCATTGTCAGTAACAAAAGTTTTGCTCCAGTAGTAAGAGTAATATGAAATTCCCACAATAATAGTAAAGAATATGATTATCAATAAGACTTACATGATCGTTCGTACAATAATAAACAATATATTAAAATCATTTTTATACCAAAGGGTGTTTTTATATGACATTCGCGTGGTAGCATATTATGTTAAAAGGTTAATCACATTTCTCCTGAAGTTCTGTACTGAATTGAATGTAGTGACAAATTAGGAACAGTGAAGTAAAATTATGTTGCACTAGTTACTTTGCATGACAACGAGGAAGAGCTGAAGTCAGCTTTGACAGAGTCTGCCAATGAAAGACCAAACATTGTGGTGTCCCTAAGAGATACGCCAGACTTCCCCTGAAAACACAAAAACACATTCCAAAGCTTCAGTTATATGTTATCTCTTCAGATAGCTTACAAAAAGAGAAAAAAGTAGACACCAATAACATGTGCAAATGTGACCAAATGAAGCAAACCTCTTTGGCAATAGAGAAAGAAGCAGAAACCAAGGAAGCAGCCTGGAGAGCCATTGAAACCAGAGAGAGAGAGAGAGAGAAAGAGATGTTAAGTGGGTCTTGCTTCGGAATTAGTTGAGTGGGGTGTGATTGTATTGTATTTATACATTGAAGTGTTGCTCTGGATATGAGAGGATAAGATAGTTTGCAGCATGTGCACATGCCAGGTCACGTCAAACAGGCCAATGAGGTTGTGAGTTTTAGATTTCTGGTGATATTTTTCTTAACTTTGTGCTTGGACTTCGCAAACAAGGGATATTTTTGATCCATTGCAGGTATCAACAGTGAACATCAATGATGAAAGGGACTGGGAATGGAAGAGTAGAAGCCAAAAAATACAAGCCTTCCTTTGTCAGCTACGTGGATAGAAATGATATTTGTTTACATGTTCACAACGAAATGAGATCTAGTTTTCTGACTAAATTAAGTTCTGATTAATGTAAATTAGCCTTTTTATTAATCATTTGTATGAGTTTTAAATTTTAAATTTTTAGTTCATGCACTCTAACTCTATTAACAGAATGCTAAAATTGAATTCATATTCATGTCGCATTAGCTCAATTTTTAAGTTGGGCCTGAAATACGTGACGGGCTGGTCAATTTTTGGGTTAAACTCAGAAGCCACGCTTGATACTTCTTCATGACTATGATTGATAATTCTCTTTCCTATTTTTTCAGTTACGTCATGATTTTCTTTTCGTTCATAAGAAATTGAACAATTAACTTTGTTGGGTTCGCAACAATGCATTAACAAAACAAGAGAACGAGGAAACAAAATGATTATTATATTGAAATAGAAAAATATTAATTACAAAACAAGATAACGTATGTTAAAAAATTAAAGTATCAAACAAAATTTTATATATAGATTTATAGTATAATAGAAAAAACAAAAAATTTGTCTACTATCTATAATATATCTAAATGGGCTAATAATCCATCTAAAAAAGGATCTTATGTATTATCTTTTGCCTAAAACACCAAAAATACAACTACATAAAATGACAGAAAATATCATAAATTCTTCTAAATAGTTTGAATTCGAATCGTGGGATAGAATCATGGGATGTTAACCAAAGATACCAGTAATATTAAGGAATAGGAGACATTAAAATATAAGTGACGAGTCCATGAAATATATTGATTAAACTAATCATGTCACAATCTCAATGATTAATCACTAATACATACAGGATATTACACTTCAATGTTAATAGGAGAAAGTAAATTTACGATTAATATAAAAATCGGTACAGTTACGTGGATCAATTTACCTTAAAAAAAAAAAAGAAATAAACGTAAAATAATTTCAAAAATTAAAAAATTAAACGAAATTTATGTTAGACCCTGTTATAATTTGCGTCTTTTATTTAATATCGTAATTTTTGTTTAAGTCGGATAGGTTATACGAGAAATTAATGACATAAAAAACCATTTTTTTTTCATGCAAAAAATGATGTAAATATTTATCATTCCATTCCATGAAATAGGACTATCTTGTGTCTATTAATACCAATAATCACATATATAACAAAGTGAGGATTTATATAATCTTAATCATTTTCTGAATAGGTTTGTAGGATTAATCTATAATTTAGAACGCACAATATTTAGTCAAATAATTATAAGGGGACCCTAAGGCTTGACTTAGTTATCAAGATTCAACTTTAGACTTAATAATATACTACATCAATCGTGGTGATGTTGAGTAAGTATCAAGTCTCAAACTACAACCATGAATAACCAGTTCAAGTGTGTAAACCTTCAACCATTTATTTTATGCCTTAACCCTTAGACCTTATTAACTTTTACCATAGAAACCATGTCCTTAACAACTAATGTTAAATTTCTTGTACGACTGACATGTTCACAAATTTCCTTTAAGAGACAGACTTTTCTCTATATCCCTTAGGTTGTTAGATGTAAACAGTTTCCTCAAGTCTTCTTACAAAAATGTTAACTTCACTCCAATTCTTCTAAAATACTAACATTCTTATATTTGGAAAATCTTCCATTCAAACACATTCATTGACTTTTTTGGTGTTTGAGAAACAAGGCAGAGGAGAAGGTGAAAAAAATAATACCATGTAAAAAATTTAAAGAATATTTATTTTTAGAAGCAGTAGTGATATTTTTCTACCTAATTTGTTATTTTTTTAAAATCTCTTCTTATTTCTTCTTTATTATTCTAATAAAACACTTTTAATTTTTATTTTATTTTTCACGAATTTTTATTCATACTTTTATTTTTATCCACTCTTTCTCTGTTTGGGAAACAAGGGATGGCAGATACATAAGCTAAGACCTGTAGCTAAGAAAAAGAGAGAAGAGTATAAAAAATGGAAAATTCACCCGGCCTAGTCCATGCTTAGCAAAATTATCAGCTACCTGATTGGCTTCCCTGAATATGAGACCAGGATAATGACATTCATGGCTGCAGTCTCCGGAATCATATTAACAAGGTATACACAATATTCCGGAACAAAATTTATAGCAATATTTGAGTTTGATTCCACCATGACATTAGAAAAACCTTTGGTATGGCCATATTAACCCCAATGATAAAAGAAAAGTTAAATGGATGAAAGAGAAGACGAAAGAAAAAAAAAAAAGGAATAAAAGAAACTCAACAGTGGTTATCATAATAGTATCGAAAGAGGTAAGAATATTAAATCATAATTACCATTATTTTATAAAAGCTAAAACTTAATTATATATTATGGTAAAATTCTTTTCAACACACAGCTTAAACCACATAGTTTCTAGAGGCGGTTACTTTATTTATATCAATACCCTGCCCTAGAAAGAATCATTGTCCTTGTTGAAAGTCTCACATCGCCTACCTCATATCATTTTGTATGGTTTAAATACATGTTAGGCTACTCCACATATTACCAATTGGTTTTATGTTGGAACCTTAACATGGTATCAGAACCAAAGCCTAACATCTTTCCAGTTATTTTCATGGGCCAAAAGTTGCCCTTTGCCTAGTCCGGCGGGCTTCGTTGGAGGCGGTGTGTTGAAAGTCTCACCTCGCCTACCTCATATCATTTGGTATGGTTTAAATACATGTTAGGCTACTCCACATATTGTCAATTGGTTTTATGTTGGAACCTTAACAGTCCTCAAGGATTAAAATTAGAATTTTTTTTTTTAAATCATAGAAAAATTCCCATGTCGCGTCTTCTAACAGTTGATGTTTCCATTCTACAAAAACTTTGGTGACGGTCATCCCTCTTCTCTTTACTGTCATTATGTCTAAAATAGCTTGTGGTTTCTTCTACTGCAGTCTTCCTTTTGCTTGATAAGACAACTTCGTGGAAACTATTGTCTCCCCCACATGCTTCTTCAATTGCGATATATGAAATACATCGTGGATCTTTGAATTCACAGGAAGTTCTAGCATAAGCTATCGTGTCCAAAATCTTGTAAGGTTCATAGTATTTAGGACTTAATTTGGCATTAGGTCTGGAGATTACTGAAATTTTTCTATAGACCTGTAGCTTCACGTAAACCAGGTCCCTAATTTCATACGCTCAGATCTGTTTCTGTCAGTTACTTGCTTCATCCATTCTTGTGCTCTCTTTAAATGAAATTTAATTACCTTCAGCATCTCTTTTCTTTTAGTGAGACTTCTGTCCACCAATTCTATACTAGACTCCCCAGGTAGATAAGGTAGGTAAATAGGAGGAACCTGACCGTAAACAATTTCATAAGGTGTAGCCTTAATAATCGTATGGTATGTTGTGTTATACCACCATTCCGCTAAGGGAAGTCATTTCACCCATTTGTGGAGTGAATCATTACCCATATATCTCAGGTAGGTTTCCAAATACTTATTTACAACCTCCGTTTGCTCTTCTGTTTGAGGGTGATAACTTGTAGACAGCAGGACTTGCACTCCATGTACTACCATAAACTCCTGCCAAAATTGGCTAACAAAGACCGAATCCTTATCTCTAGTTATAATTTCAGTAAATCCATGTAATTTGAACACATGGTCTAGAAAATATTGTGCAACATCCCTTGCTCAATACAAATGAATTAGGGCCATAAAATGAGATACTTTACTGAGCCTATCCACCACTACCATAATCACATGTTTGTCTTCTGAATATGTTGTCAAATAGTTTGGGGGAATGGACAGAGTTTGTAGTAGCCCAGGACTGACAGCAGTGCTATATTTATTTTACTGACAAATAGAGCAACCTTAGATAAAATGCTTAATATCACTGTTTAATCCCTTCCAATAAACCAAAACCATTGTCTTTACCCTTTTCAAAGTAGCATTAATTCCTTAATGACCTCTTCAGTTGACGAATTTAGCCACTGTAAAACTTTTTTTCTTAACATCATATCATTTCCCAATATGTCTGTAAGCCATGATTATGTGAATTAGTATTTCCTTGTAGCTCTTTTATCACCTTCTGCAAATTTATGTCTGTAAGTCATTATTGTTGTATTTGATTCATCAACTCAGATTGTAATTGAATTGTAATAATTCCTTGCATTCTATTGTTTCCATTCTTGAGAGAGCATCAGCTATTACATTGTCCACTCCTTTCTTGTATTCTACAGAGAAATCAAATTCCATCAATTTCACTGAAAATCTATAGTCCACCGTTGGTCTAGAATATATTTTAGGTTGTAATGATTTGTTTTGATTATAAAATGCCTATTCAGCAAATAGTGTCGCCACTTTTGTACAGCAAAAACTACTCCCAACAATTCCTTTTCATATGTTGAATAGGTATGTTGTTGTCGATTAAAAGTTCGGCTAATATAGGCAATAGGATGATTGTCCTGCATTAAAACTGCCCCTATCCCCTGTCCTGAAGCATCCACTTCAACCAAGAACACCTTTGAGAAATCAGGCAAGTGCCAAAATTAGTGTGTTTCTCATCTACTTTTTTAGTTCTTCAAAGGCTTCTTTGGCTTTGTCTGTTCAAATAAATTTGTCTTTTTTCAACATCTGTGTCAAGGGTTTAGCTATTACCCCACAGTAACGAACAAATCTCCTGTAATAATCTGTTAGGCACAAAAACCCTCACAAGTGTTTAAAATTTTGGGATAAAGGTCATTCCACCACTGCCACCACCTTAGCCGGGTATGTAGACACTTCTTCCTTATTAATAATATGGCCCAAATACTCCACTTGCTACACCCAAAATAGCATTTAGTTCTTTCAGCAAATAAAGTGTTTAATCTGAGAGTTAACAACACCTCCTTTAAATGTTGTAAATGGTCTATCAAATTCATGCCATATATCACTATGTCATCAAAAAATACCAATAAAAACTTCCTTAAAAACTTGTGAAAAATAATATTCATTAAGCCCTGAAATGTAACTGAAGCATTAGTGAGACCAAAAGGCATCACCAAATATTCATAGTGCCCCGCATGGGTTCTAAACACTATTTTACACACATCATCCGGGTTCATCCTAACTTGATTATACTGCGCACACAATTCAATCTTTGAAAAAATAGTAGATCCTGTTAATTCATCCAACAAATCGTCTATAAAGGAATGAGAAATTTATTTTTTACTGTTCCTTTATTCAATTCTCGGTAGTCCACACAAAGTCTCCATGACTCATCCTTCTTCCCTACAAGAAGGACTGAACTGGCATAAGGGCAGCAGTAGTCCCAAATAACACCAAATTCCAAGTATTCTTATATGAGTTTATCAATAATATTCCATAGCCACGAACAAATCTCCTGTAATAATCTCTTAGGCCCAAAAACCCTCGCAAGTGTTTAAAAGTTTGGGTTAAAGGTCATTCCACCACTGCCGCCACCTTAGTCGGGTATGTAGACACTTCTTCCTTATTAATAATATGGCCCAAATACTCCACTTGCTGCACCCCAAAATAGCATTTAGTTCTTTTAGCAAATAGAGTGTTTAATCTGAGAGTTAACAACACCTCCTTTAAATGTTGTAAATGGTCTGTCAAATTCCTACTATATATCAATATGTCATCAAAAAATACCAATAAAAACTTCCTTAAAAACTTGTGAAAAATAATATTCATTAAGCCCTGAAATGTAGCTGAAGCATTAGTGAGACCAAAAGGCATCACCAAATATTCATAGTGCCCCGCATGGGTTCTAAACACTGTTTTACACACATCATCCTGGTTCATCCTAACTTGATTATACTCCGCACGCAAGTCAATCTTTGAAAAAATAGTAGATCCTATCAATTCATCCAACAAATCGTCTACTAAAAGAATGAGAAATTTATTTTTTACCGTTTCTTTATTCAATTTTCGGTAGTCCACACAAAGTCTCCATGACCCATCTTCTTCCCTACAAGAACGACTGAACTGGCATAAGGGTTGCAACAGTCCCGAATAACACCAAATTGCAAGTATTCTTGTATGAGTTTATCAATAATATCCTTTTGATTCTTAGCATACCTATAAGGTCTTTTATTAACCGAATTAAATCCTTGCATGAGAGGAATAATATGATCATGTCTTGGTTTAAAGGTGGCAACTATGGTGGTTCTCGAAATACATCTGCAAATTCTTGTAACAAATTTTCAACTCCCACCGGTAAAGTTACCTGATCTGCATGTGTAGTCAATGAACATAGTAAATCGTCCTTGGAGGCCCCAAGATGCATCATAGACAAATGCACCCCTTTTGCAAAAGCCTTGCACAACTGCTGTTTGGTTGCAGTTTTAACCTTGGTAGTAGTGGATCCTATTAGCACCTGTCGTCTTTCTTGCACTTGAAACTCCATTGCGAGTTTGTCAAAGTTCCACAAAATATCACCTAATTTAATGAGCTATTCAATTCCTAGCACCAGATCACAACATCCCAGAGGTAAAAGAAGCATCCGCTCTAAAAGTAGTGTGTTGAATATTCCAAATAAAATTCTTGACCATTGTCGAAATCTTGATTTTGGAGCCATCCGCTACAACCACATTAAAAGGATTAATATTTTCTACTGCACACCCATATTTTACTGCTACTTGAGTGTCCAAAAAATTGTGAGTGCTCCCAATATCAATCAAAAGGTGTAAGGGTTTCTTTTGGTAATAACCTGTAATCCTCATAGTTCTAAATTCTGCTACTCCTATCAACGCATTGACTGAAATTTGTGGTTCTTGAGCAAGTAATTGGGTTCCTCCATCATCCTAAACACCTCACTAGTATCCACCTCATCCTTCGCCTCTATTATATGAATTTGTAATTTCTTGTGGGTCAAACCATGTTCTAGGGAATAAGGTTCATCACAAAAATAACAGTTCTTCTTTCCAACATGTACGTTAAGTCCTTTATGATTTAGGTTTCAATATTACAGTAGACGTTGTCGTCGTGACTTGTGTAGGTGATGGAGCAGGACCCAAAACTCCCCTTTGAAACCTTGTAGAAGTGTTGATTGAATTGGTCGATTTATACATTTGTGTCAATGTAAAGGCACGTTGTACGGATCTGGTTGGAACATCCTTACCATCATTTAGTACATACTCCTCCGATAGATTCAATCTGATAATAATTGAATCAAATTCTTCATTATAGTCATCCATCAATTTCTTTTGTCGTAAACACATTAACTCTGTCATAGGATCGTCACATACATAACCAAACTGATCACAAAGCGTTTCTTGAATTCAGTCCAAGAAAATGTAAAAGAATCCAAACAAGATTTTGTCAAAGCAGTATGTCACTACAACGCTTTGTCTTCCAAATGCACAATTACTAACTTCGTCTTGAGATCTTCTGTGGTATTATCAATGAGAAAGTAATTTTCACACTGATGTATCCATTGATTCACGTTTTCGCCACTAAATATGGGAAAATTAATACGTGTCATCCGAATTCCGCACACATAATTTGAAGTTGAACGTGTACACCGCGACATATTATCACTGGAAGAATTAATATTATTATCGATCATTTTCTGCGTAACTAATTCTTACATTGTTTGTTTCAAAAAACAACTAACTCCATAAAACAAGTATCTATATTTTGAGATATACATTCTTCCATGTCTTTTATTGCCTGAATTAAACGGATAGCGTTTGCCATGTGATTTTTCCAGGAAGGACTGATACCAATTAATAAAAGAAAAACTAGAAAGAAGAAAGCAAAGACAAAAAAATAGAAGAAATAGAAAAAATCCAATAGTAAATTATCAAAATAATATTAAAAGAGATAAGAATATTAAATCACAATTATCAAAACTCAATCTTATACTATAATAAAATTCTTTTTAACGTATCGGTTAAACTATATCACCAAATCAGTAGTGCCCGTAACTCAGTCAGGATTATCGAACAAGTTCCAACTTGGGTAGCAAAGCCACATAAGAGAACTCCTTTATATCTCTTGTCTCAGTCAAAGATATCGGTATGATCATAATTTTTACCAACAATGATTGGTGAGAGTAGAAGTAAAATGTAATTTAGGAAGTTTTACTTATTATGTAAGAGTTGAGATCCCCAAATGGTTAAACGAAAGAAAATTTGACCTAATGCATTTAACTGATCACTGTCATGGACCCCAAACGTTAGTCTCACAGTCTTATACCTAGTCAAAGACCAAAAAAGTTCGTAGCAGCTTTTACCCAAACTGCACGTGACCTTTATCGGTTGAGTTCAAACGAGTTATGACCAGTGAACAGGAGAATCCCACAATAACAGGAAGCATACAGTAGTTCCAACAGTTTAGGCAATGATTCAATTTCTATACTTAGAAGTCACTTCTGCTATTACAGGAAACATTTTCAGCATGAAAATGGTGCTGATTCCCACCAAAGGCATGTAACTACTCTATATTGAGATCAAACTTTTAAAGTTTCCATCTTCTCATGGTTAAAAATACGCCAGATTAAACTGCAATACTCAAGTATACTGAACATGTTAAGTCGCACAACTAATATATTGAGAATAAACCGTGAATTTGATCCTTCAAATATTATCCTTTTCAATATAATAATCCTTAAAATGATAAAAAAGTGTATGAGTAATTCTCCTAGTGTTTAAATAAAGAAGGTATGTTTTACCAATATTCAAGAATCAATTTGAAGTGTTTTTCCATATGTAAAAGACTGCTTGATATTTATTTTTTGAATACTTGCAATTACCTTATAAACCTTTTACTTTGCATCTGATAAACAAAAGCCCTCAAGTGTGCCAAACATAGTTTTCTAGAAAGAACATGCTCCTGTCGCACGAACTATGCTGTTTTATTGAAATTGATATTGAATTACATAACACGACTAATATTAACAAATGTAAAAGAATCATCATTTATAATTCAACAAGCCTTTCCCATGCCCATTGATTTCTACATAATAAATCCAAGGTTTCCTTCCAGGTGTACGTTCTTTTTCTTTTCTCTTTTGTTCATTGATTTTCACCCCATTTTTTTCTTCTTTTTTGCCGCCCCCCCCCCCCCGCAAATGCTTGATTGGAATGACAACATATCTCATCTAATAGAATAGAACAAGAAACAAATGGAACTTACCTTATACTTTCTCACCCACACCTCTCTGTACAGTTCTCACCAATTAATGGAGAATGTGGAAATTGACATCACAACACTACAACAACCCCACCCCACTTTACTTTTTCTTCTGAGTTGATGTCTTCAACTCTCCCAACCTCATAAGCATGAATTTTCGATCACCCCTTATATACCAAGGGGCAAACCAAAATTTTGAAAAATTTTAATTTCCCCTTGAAGGCCGGCAGTTACAATCACCATACCCCATGCTGACATGTTTTGATTTACTCCGTGACATAAATCTACACTAACCTGAGGGCTTCGGTCCCTTGTAGTTAGAAGTTTTTCCTCAGGCCATGTGGCCGAAATTCTATCAAGAAAATAACTATCTGTTGCACTTGCAATGGTTCCATGAAGTGGGCTGTTATTGCAACCTGAAGCAAATTGTGAACCCTCAGAACCAAAACTTTCCTCTACAGGGGTAGGAGGATGATTGGCTGATGAGACCTCATCCTCATTATCATCAAGCTCAGGTTCTTCTCCAAAGTATGGATCATGCATCTCCCATGTGTCATCCATACCTGGCCAAGGAATAGCCACTGACACATCTTTACAGTGAAAATGTTCATATGTGCTTGTCACGGTGACACCTTTAGTCCTGCTAGGCCTACAATCAGCTTCATTTTTCCAGATGTATACATGAGAATCCTCACTTGCTGAGACAACATATTTACCATTAGCCGTGAGGAAGGCAGAAATTTGGCTACTTGCATTCCGAAATCCTGAAAAAAAAAAAAGTATCATTTTACTCTGAAATGGAAACCAGAATGGGAAGAAATGTTTGAGACCACAATTTTCTTTTTCTACTATCATTCAAATAAATACATGAAATCCTACTAAAATAACAAAAAAGATTTCATTCCAAAACAAAAGTGTTAGTTTGTTGTATATTTTTGTCATTTAGTCTTACACTGAATTCTCACTTAATACACACCCTACATCAGACATGCACATATATGTACACACTTTTTGGCCCTTATTTGTCAGAAGTTGTCTTCAATTGTTTTAGATCATTTATTCTCTCAATAAGACTTTTATCGTAAGTAAAATTTCTCATCAGGTACCCAACAATGTTGGAATACATTCACTTGTACCTCCAATAAAATTCACTTGATATAGAACTCATTTTCACATACCTTTAAACTTATGAACTAGATCAATACCATCAACAAGTCGAATCCGCGAATCAGACGAAGTGATGAGGACTTCTGATGAACTTCCTGGCAGAAACTGTTCATAAAAATCAGTAGGAAAACAAGCACAAGTATTATTACCAGCCAAAGAAAATTTATAACAGTTGTTAAGTCTTCAATTATTTGCCCTTATTATTTTTTCCATTTTTAACCCTTCAGATTTGGGGAAAATTAATACAGCCCAGTAGCCATTAACTACCTGGAAGCCAGTAATTTTCTTGTGGTTTGATCTCTTCCTCCTGTTCTGCAAATTTATCTGACTTTTCTTTTGCAACTTATTTTCTGAATGAAATGGAAAAACAAGATAAAGATAGCAGTAATCAGTGGCCTGCAATCATCAGAATAGTGTATAAACTTATGAGTTGAAGAGAATCACTGATGATACCAGATGTATTATATGAATGGCAGCTACCCTTGTATGTACCAACTAATGCACCCTGCGTGGATCAGAAAATATTATTGAATTCCAATTAAAAAAATCAAAGTTTTTTCACGTGGATAATGCATATAAATGTAGGACCAACCTGACCATCAGGCGTATAACAAGCAGCCGTGACCATCTGATGTAGATCGGTCCAATCAACAACTTGTCTATCAGGAATGCTCCATATACGGACCTTAGCATCTAAAGATCCACTAATGAAGTATCTATCATCAACAGGGTTAAACTGGATGCAAGTTACTGTGCCAGACAGAACAAATTGAAGCAAAGGTATAATTAGCAAGGGGGGAAAAAGGGTTTTCGGAGAGATGGGAGGAGTACAAGAATGTTTTTATTATTGCTAAATGTACATAGAAACTGATACGCAAAAGAAATAAAATCTTGTACAATCAGTCTTATATGCAGCAACGGTCAATACTGTGTATCTAATTCAAATTTCAGAAATGCTATCAGCTCACTCTCAAATACATTATTCCCAACACTCTTTATACTAGTAGCAGAAATTTATTGAAATTCACAAAATTATTGATCTTATTTCTAATTTAATATCTGAAATTTATTGAAAAGTGCGTGTCTAATAGTGTATTGCTAGAACTTCTCTTCAATTTTTAGTCAGAAAAGAAACAGAAGAAACTTCTAACACAAATGCATGCTCCAACACTTATTCAATATTATGGTCACCAAAGGATTGTAGTCCATACACTCTATACAGAATAGGAAAAAGTAAAGATGAGAGCAAATGTAATAGATATGTGTGCTCACCATAGTCACTGTGTGAGAAAATTTTCAGACAAGACTTGCTAGACAAATGCCACAGGCGCACTGTTTTGTCCATTGAAGATGAGAGCAAGTGCTGATCAAACAGAGAAAAACATTTAAGATGACGTCCACATATGCAAGGTTTAGTTTATGTTTCTAATATGCAGTGCACAAATTCATGACAAATATTTGAATTTTAGAGATCACATAATATAAGATAATAATCAAGAAACTCTCCAAATAAATAAACATATCCCCCCTCCCCCAACTTAAGCTCTTCTTCTGCTTGTAATAACATCTGACACTAAAACTTATTTTTCACATTTTCACCCTGTATGTTGCTCTCAATCCAAAGTCCCGCTACTACAACATGGGGAGAATTTAGCAAATGAAAAACTGGTTAAAGAATGTTCATATTCAAAATAATTTTAAAAATTAATATCAATTAGAAACAGTTTAACCTTTTTAATTTGTCTAATGATATAGTTAGAATTTTTTATGAATCAATTATATTGTATAACTCCTTTATTCAAAGTTCAAAATCCTTTACAAAGGAATACTTCATATCAATAAATGCTTATAGGGATTTTTAACTAGTGGGGAATATTATGAAAGGATCTTGAGGCAAAATAAAAGGTTTTTTAAATTCTAAGACAATATTTTCAAACGTCTCTCAAATTTTTCTTGCTCTTCGGAGCCTGGCTTCTCAGACCTCTGTTCAAGCCTAATGGTAGCTCCTCCAATGATAAAGGGTGTAGACCATCTGCAGTGACATCGATGATACTAATTGCTCAGAGTTTCTGAGAAATTCACTCACTGCAGTAAAAAGTCATCAACTCTTGCCTTGGCATTATTGATACCATGTACCCCAAGCATGTTTATGTTCTAAGATTTTCAACTGTTGTTCTAACGCAGAGTGTAACCAAAATGTGATATTCTATATCTGTAATTTAATCAATGAATTAAAGTAATTTGAAACTTGAAAATATTTCATTTTCAAACAAAATCTAAAAGTAGGTATTGAATTAGCTGAAAAATAAAATATTTGGTACAGTTAAAGGTAACCAACTCCTTATGTTTTAAAATAAGGAATGAGTTAAAGTAATTTTTCATTTAAAAAAATAAAAGAACAAATAAAAGCAAACTGACATTTAGCTTTTATTTGAATCACTTTTAACAAACAAGACTTACCAAGGTACGTAGTTATCTGGTTTTTGAAGCTTGGCAAACAATCCCTAAAACCTATATTGGGATTAAAGAATAATGACATATTGATCTAATATTAAGCATAAAAAGGATAAATCCCAATCATCACACGACTACTTCACCGGATCATCATAATGGTAAAAAATTACAATCTAAATAAGCACAACTAGGCTACCTCGCAACATATCAGCACCTTAAACAAGTTATTGACCTGAACATATTATCAGTTCATTATGCAGTAAAGTTAAATTCCATTGTTACAGTCACTGTCTCTACATTCATTTCATTAGAGTAATTTCTGGAAAATTTTGATATAAATTTAGACATTAATCACAACCAAAAAACATCACTAACAACTACGATGATAAAGAAATCATAACACGTGTAGCCATCCAGTTCTTTACAAGTTGCCACACTTTAAATCCTTAGTCAGAAATGCATTTCCAAGGAACGCCTAGAATGACATTGCAACTTCGAAAAATAAATAATTGTTGATCTATTATTAATGAGTTTATGTTTACAACTACGGTAAGTAACCCCAACTTACATTTAAAAAAAAAAAAATAGTCTTAACACTTCTAGTTCAAAATTTCTGTTATATTAACAGCATATTCAACAAAACAAAAAGATTTTAACACAAAATAATAAATATTATATTCTGATGCAATTAAGAATTCACACTTGATGCCTATTCTGCAAATTTAAAACAGACAATATATAATATGAACCAAATCTTATCCACTAGGGCGGTCAACTAAATAAATCCATAGACAGCAATGGGCTCTAAAAAAATTCAAATCTTCAGTACAGTCGTTTAGAGTATCATCTTAGTGGTTTCTGATGGTTTTGTAGCAGGTGTTACCCCCGTTTAATCTAACCGTTTCATTATATCCACTTTCTCACACAAGAGCCTTAACCCAGTGTTTGTTTGATTAGCACTCTGAATCAATTTCTCACCCAAAGCTCATTAATTTTACATGTCAGTGGAAAAGTCCAGTTGCTTCCTCTTAAGTGATTTTATCTGTTAACAGGACCATGTAGAAAAACTAATAACAATTTTAATGCATGATTGTTTTGAACATAAACCAACCAATGCCAACATACTTGTGAAAATGAATAAAATGATTTTTCATTGAGGCATATAACACAAGTAGAATCACAGAATAACATCTATTTTTGTTATAATAGCTAACCTGAGACTTGGACCAAGAAAGGTCAAGCACGTCATAGAGATGACCCTTAAAGGAGCAAACTGGTTTTTCAGTGAGAGCAAACACAGTTTCTGGCACTACTAACTGGTCCATGCTCAGAGATTTTCTGCTAACAGACAACCTCCCCCTTCTCTTCTTCTCCGAATTATTCTCCATGCCAGGAGACGAAGGCTCCGGCGACCCATTCACAACAAACAACATGTTCAAATTCCCATCCTCCGGTTTCTCCACCAGCAACTCGCCCTTCCTCTCAGACTCCACAACCTGCCAAACATGAATCACACAATCCTCACCAGCACTAGCAAGGTACTTCCCATCCAAACTAAACTTAATGCTCCAAATGGATCCATCGTGAGCCTGAATTTTTTGGCTCTTATAAAGCCCTGTAACCTCCTTACATGACTTCCCATACTGCCTAACCCTCACTCTCTCACCCCCATGAACCAAACCACTACCACCATCCTGACTATCATCCGTGGCCGAGCTCGACCGTCGGCCACCCTTCTCCGACGAAGACGTATCCCTCTCATCACCACTCCGCCTCTCCTTCTGACCCACCACAACACTTTTCAAACTCATAAACTTAAACCACCCCCCTTTCCTCCTCACTTTGCCACCATCCCCCTCATCATCACCACCACCACCACTCCCACCATCACCATCCTCATCCACACCTTCCCCATTGCCATCATCCTCCACACTCTGCCTCCTCATTAGCTCTTGAACAATCGGAGAATGCCCTACGGTCATCTCAAACTCCTCCACAGTCAAACGCCTCCCAGTTCCAACCTCCTTCACCTCATTCCACACCCCATCCCGCTTCACTACGAACTCCTTCCCATTGTCTAAATCCCTAATCGTACACGCTTGCTCCACTTCATCCACCACATTCCCCTCCCCAATTCCTCCCTCCTCACACACACTCACACAAATCCTACTATTCACACAATGGCTACCACTATTATTATTAACATTATTATTATTCACGATAAAACCGTTGTCATTGTCGCGAATGGGAACAACGGAGGACTTGCAATGCTTGGTGCCGCGATCCGAGGTGTTGTCGGATTTCGATCGGGGAATAGTTGCGGCAGTGGTGGAAGTGTCGGTGCATTGGTGAGAGGAGGCTGATCGGGGGATGGAATCGGCGGCGGAGGGAGGCGGCGCGGGGAGGCCAAACTGGCGGAGGAGGCGGGAGCGGCGTTCGGAGAGGGAGGAGGGTTCGGATATCCAGGCATCGTACTTGCACATGGTGGGGAAGGGGAATTGGGGGAGGGCATGGGTGTCGTTCTTACTAGGCTTGTTGTCGTTTAAGGGAGTGGGAGCGTCGTCGTCGGAGGCGGAGGTGGAGCAGGAGCAAGAGGAGAGCAAGCGGTCGTTGGAGTCGTGGAAAAGGGAAGGGTCGTGGTGGTCCTCCTCCACGGCTGGGGTCATGGCTTATGGGGCATTCCCATTTGGATCAACCAACCCGACTGGGAAATGGGTCGGATCGTGAAACGGATCCAATGCGGAGAAGGAGTTCGGTGTGAGTCAGATCCAATGAATGGTGCAGTGAGAATGTGAATGAGAGAGAGAGAGAGAGAGAGAGAATGGGAACGAAGCCCTATGCTGAGAGAGAGAGAGTGAGAGTGGTGCTCGCTGGGTGGGTTCTGCTGTTGTGCTGTGTTGTGTTGGGTTGGAGTGAGCAGTGACTTTTTTCTTTCTTTTTTTTTTTTTTTTTTTTTTGCTTTGCGTAGGGACTGGAGAGAGAAGATGCGTTTACTAATGAAGAAAGGGAAGGGCCTTTCTCTTTTCCTTATATAGGAGTATAAAACAAACTCATCATGTAAATGCCAAGATAGCAAACCTTTTTTTATTTTTATTTTTTTAACCAATATAAAACTTTCCCTTCAATCACATTACCAACACCCTCTTTTATAATTCATGTCACATACTAAATATTATAAATTACATTTTTTAAATATATCAAATAATTCATATCAATTATTTATACTAAAAAATTCTAAGAAACAAATTTCTCAAATATATTCTTATTATTTTATTTAAACAATTCTTTCATAAAAGCAAAATCAAAGTTCTTTTTACCAACATATTACAAATAAAATATATCCAAAATTAAGTTTGTCAACGTTAAATTAATATTTTTGTTTTTAACATTCATGTCAATACATTAATATTACGTCTAAAAATTTTGCACACGTTCGTCACACAACTTTCTTATTTTTTATGACATCACTTTTTTTATGTTTGTTACTGAACTTTTAATTTTTCCTAAATTTTGTTGTTTACATGTAAATTTTGTAATTAAGAATTTCTATTTTTAATGCACATAATGTTTTTTCTTCTTAATGCATAATTAAACACTATTGTGAAAAGAACCGATAAGGTTTAATATAATATTACTTATATATATAATAATTTTTTAGTTAAATATTATATATATTCTACAAATTTTTATTTTTTATAAATATTGTTTTAAAAAGTAAAACTAAATTTTTGAACGGTGTGTGTATATATATATATATATATATATATATATATATATATATATATATATATATATATATATATATATATATATATATATATATATATATATATATATATATCACGATGTATAATATTCAGTACTTAGTTAAATACTATATTTAAATAAATTGTATGTTTAGTTATAGATATAATAAATATTTAGATAATGATATATTTAGTCAAACATAATAGTTAATTATTAAAGCAACTGAGATAGAAGTGATTAAACAGTTAGTTATAGAATATAAAATATTTAGTTAATGATTAGAGATTAGAGTTAAAGTTTAATAAAAATAGTATCTTAGTTAGGACGGCTTGTTTTAGATACTGATTATAATTCTATTTAACTTAGAATAATCCTTTTTTAGGTCTTTATGCATATGATTTAGTATTAGAAATATCAAATAAAATTTAATAAGAGATTATAATAAATTAGAGAGAATGATATAAAGAACTTTATCCAAGTAATCAAGAAGACAAAGAATTTCTTCACGTTTTTGCTTAACAAAATATCATAAAATAGAACAAGTTTTGTGTTGAGTGAGTGATATGACTTGAGAGAAATTATAAAAAATAGAAACTGATTTTCAAGATCATTTCATTTTTTTATTAAGTGAGGGTTAATGGTTTGAGCAAGAAAACATTTCTTCATCTTTAAGCACTTGTCCCACTTGAACAATAACTTTTGCTTGAACGTTTATATCAAATTTGTGTACATAAATAAATATAAATAGTTTATTTAATGATAACTTTGAATTCATTTGTTTAATCAGTTTGAAATCTAAAAGTAGAAGTATTCTTTTATGATTTGAGAAATTAATTATTATAATAAAATATTTAAAATTTATAAATCAAGGAATTGATTTAAAGGATTGATAGAACTCGAATAATATTGAATGGTTGAATAAATATATAAATATTAATACTTTTTATTGCTAATATAATAAAATATTTTTATTATTTGGTTTTAGTTTAATCTTACAACTTAGTATTAAATGGAGAATCTTGTCGTAGGACATTTTGCAAATCTTTTGAGTGTATGTTTAAAAACTTAAAAAGAAGTTATGGATATTCCAAAATATTACACAAATTCTCGAAATACTACACTTATTTAAAGTACTACACTCATTATACTTGCTATAATATAACCTAATAGATAACTAAATGATTTAATTATAATAGTTTATTTTTTCAAAATAAAAGGAATGTTTAGTTTGAATGACATAATGAAGTAAAAATTGAAAAAAAAAGAATAATATTTTAAAATAAGACAAAAAGAATAAAAATAAATAAATAATGAGACAAATTTATTTATTATTTTAATATTATGTATTTATTATAACACTATTATAAATGTATAAAATTATTAATAACTCTTAGTGTAACTTATTAACCTACCCTTATTTACTATATAACTTGTTGATTTATTTATTTAAAAAAATAAACAAGTATACGTTAACTTTAACTAATAAAAGAATATGTAATATATACATTTGACAATTTATTAATTTATACTAATAAATAGATATTTTTATTATTATTGTAATTGTACTTTTAGTAATATAAGATACATAAGTTAGTATTTTAGATAATTACATTATTAAAAAAAATAAGAATAATTTGTTAATTCTTATTTTTTGAGTAAATATTTTTTTTAAATATATTTAAAAGTAATAAGCTTTCTAATATATGAATGATTTATATAAATAAATTCTTTATTTAAATAAATAAAAAATCAAATATATGAATGATTTATTTAGTGTATTTATTATTTTATCAATTTGATTTTAAAAAATAGAGCCTAATTAATATATTAAAATTCATTTGAACAATATTTAAATAAACAAATACTTTAAAAATGATAATTAAAACTTATTCCAAATCTTCTGGAACAAAGAAACTATTTCTCCTTCCATTATTAGTATAATATCGTTTTAGGTAAGCTTTTCGAACCACATGTGCAATAATATCCATAATATTTTTATTTAAATAATTATATATTGAAGCCAAATATCTACGTACGAATTGAAATTAAAATGAACTTTAAACCTATGGAATAATTATCATATAATATAAGCCTTTGGAAGCATCATGAAATAATGTCTGAAAAACTTGAACAATATAACCTAGTCCTTCAGATTCTCGGAAATAATTGAAGTTGTTTTGATTGATGGAAGCGTGTATCCTCCCTGCAGGAAATAAAAATGTTGAATGAATCAATACAGAAAAAAATGAATCATGTTGACAAAGAAGTATTTGAATATAAGTAAGCTTCTGAGAAAGGAAGAACATTCGAGTAGTGTTAAGTTGATCTTCCTTGTCGAAAGAAGAAAGGGTCCATATGCAGAGACAAAGAACCTTGAATTTTGAATGTATATTAGCAGGCATAATGCAACGAATTGCATATTATTGATCTGGTTGATGAAAAAGTAAGAAAAGACTGCATGATTAAGAGGATGCAATGTTGAAGGTAACAGTGGAGTGGATCTCCAACCAACAACAGTTTTGATGTTTTAGAGTTTGTCCCTAGGGCTAGTTATGTGTGTTGTTGTGATGGGTGATGCAATTTAGTTAGGCATTATCATGATGTCTGTGAGATTAGATTACCACTTTGCAACACATTTTGTCATCACATTGGCAATTCAAACCTCTCATCATAACACAGACTTTAAAGATAAGGATTTCTCAGATACTTGATCCTGCTAATTGGAGACAAATCACAGCCCTGTGAGCCCCATCCTTGTCCACTCTTTTTCTATTTACATACCACAATGCTTTTCCAAACTTCATCTCTTTATTTTTCTTTTCAAACATATTCATATTCTCAACACCCATGTGTATTTATTTATGGTATCATTAAGATACACCAAGGAGGACTATAATTAATGCATCAAGAGATACATTCATTATATATAATTGAGAGAAAAATAAATATCCAAACCAAAAATTGATGGATAATTCCTCTAATAACATGAAAAAAATATTTCATAAAGAAAACTTTATTATAAATTTAAAATATTATGTATTTAGATAAAATTTTATCCAAGAAACAAAAAGTGAAATGAATCTTTTCATCAAATATACATAAATTAAAAATTCACGTTTTAAAGAAACTAATATGAAAGAATTTTTGTAAATTAATTTATAGAGAATTCTTTTTTAATTTATATCTTAAAAGTGCTTATGGAGTTTATTTAAACAAACTATTCTCTTCATGCACAATTTAAAAATCAAATTACAATTAAATTTACTTAATAAACTCAATTATATGTGAACAAAATTAACTCTCAATTATCTATTTTTGTCTCACTGATTTCAATTCGTATATCCTAAAAAAATTACCAATTTTGTATTTAAATTTTCTTATTTCCCAATTATTTCCATTTTATTTTTTGCCTCCGTGTTTCTCTCTTTATCCAAGCAAATAACAAAGCAATGTTATATACATTCTTTTTAAAATTTTGTTCATGCAAGAGAAAAAAAAAACTATTAATTGCATTAAGAAAGGCGTCCACGTAACCCAACTGTTTAGTGGTGAAAAAACAAAACACGTAGTTATTAAAAAACGTAAAAAGAATTAAAAAAGAGATTAATTAGTCAAAGACAAGAAAAAAGAAGAAGAAAAAGTGTGTAAAAGAGTAATATACACCCCTTCTTCCTACCTTGAGGTGTGAGCCCTCTATCCAAACATGTCGTTTACTTTCTCACTTGCTTATCCTTTTCTTCAATCTATATATAAATCAAAATTATCACAAAGCATATAATTATCTTAATTTAATTTTACGCTATCTAGTTAAAAATAAATTATATTTTATTATTTGATAAAAAACACGTAATATTTGATGAATTTGTATAAAAAAATTGGATTGATATGCAATATTGCTCCAGCTAAAAATGAAAAGAAA